CACCATGTGGGTCACCTCCGGGACTGGGATGGAACTTCACACTGAAGTGGCCAAAGGTGACCTACATGTCATGGCAGACTTCTCCTCACCTGCCTGCTGCTCCCCTCAGCAATGTATTTCTCAGTCCACCTTTCGGCTTCCCTGCTGTGTCTCTGGTGAATCTCACATTCCTGCACCTCTGGCCTGTACCCCAGTTTTTATGTGCATAAATAATAAATTTAAAAAAAAAAAGAATGTGGGAAGTCCCTTGAAGGGGAGGTTTTAGGATTATATATTTATAGTTAATGTTTTTCAAAATGTAAGTGCGTGGTGTCGGAAACGATGGCCTTTACATTACCTTAAGGATTTTCTGTACTGCTTATGAATAATGTCCTGTGTAATTCTTTTTGTATACCACATAATAAAATAAATGAAGCATTTGCTCCAATTTTTTTTCTTATTACTTAAATTTGACTTTGATATAAATTGTCTTTTGAAATCTTCTTGATGAAGTTGACCACATATAAAATTATCAGCTTAGAGTCAGATTGTCTGTCTGATTACTATGATTTTGTTGGCTTGATGCTGTTACCTTTTTCCCTTTAATACACGGTAACCTCTCTGTGAACTTCTTACATAAGAATATATATATTAAGGGGTCCATACAAATGTTAGTTGTTGCCATAAAGAGAGTTGTTTCTTTAGCTACATACAGTTGATTTTGCAATCTACAGTCAGTTTTAGTGTTGGTTTGACTCTGAGTGTAAGGAATTCTGACAAAATGATATGGCGCAAAACATACAAAGAAGACAGCAACAACAACAAAAACTTTACCTTCCAGGTTTTTGTTGTTTCTTCTGTGCTTACTTTTGGATTTTTGATAAGAATTATATACTTTTTTTGCAATCACCACATAAAACAAAAGCATTAGGATGAAAACAGTCCAGAAAATAAACTGGGATATGTAATTTACCACTTGATGCCACTTCAGCCCCAGGGGGCCCTTCAAAGAAGAACACTTTTTCACAGATGATGGTGTAGCTTCATTGTTGCTTAAGATAATATTTGGCAGGGAGATGAAGAACAAAAGGAACCAGATGAAGCTTGAGACCATTTTTGCAAAGACAGGTTTTTGTACAAAAAATTTTCCAAATGGTCTGAAGATCTTGAGGAACCTGTCAAAGGCGATGAGTCCTAGCAGTATGATTCCCACATACATGGTCTGGTAAAAAATGATGGCAGAGAAACGACACACGAAAGCTCTGATCTGCCAGGGTCCAAGGTGTGCATCAGAGAGGATCTTAAATGGAAGCATGAGTGTCATTATCAAGTCAGCCACCAAAGTGTTCTTAAGGTACACAATGAAGGTAGAGGAGCTGGGGATGTGAATGAACACCCAGAGAGCCAGAACATTCAGCAAGATGCCCATGAGGAAAAGGGCAGTGTAGACAGCTGGAAACACCAGATGTGCTACCCTTGTGTCCCTGGTGCACCACTCAGACTCATTGGAGCCCTTCAGCATTGTGGCATTCATGGTTTCCATCATTAGCTGTTGCAAATAAACATAAACAAGCTAAAACAAAAAGCTCCACTTATGTTTGAAATCGTGCTTTTTAGAAACAGACTTTAGCATAGTAATACCTTAAATTTATTCAGTTCTTTCAGTACTTCTGTTCAGAAAGTATACATTTCTGTGTGGAATTACTAAAGCACTTAATACATTTCTGGTATTTGCACCAGTGTTACTACTTTCACATCCTTCTGAAGTACAAATAACAAGTCTGTCCCATTCACAATTGCTACTTTCAACATGCTAATAGAAGAAAACCCCATTCATAGGGCAATAATTCATGTCAGATAGCTGGCCATTATATAATTCCTTAGTCTCATCATTTATAGTTTATAAAATGTTAGCACTAAAGTATATTTTCCTTGAGTATATTCAGTCTTTTATAAGCAAGCCACTCATAATAAAAATAGAAATTCACCTTTGTTGAGGAGGGCACTCAGCACAGTGTCTCCTGCTCGAGGTTGTCATTAGTTCAGCTCTTGAAGAACAAGTGAAACAAATCTCCTTCTGCTTTCTTATACTGATTATTGTTCCTCTTTTTCACATGTGTAATGGGGGAATTTTCTAACAAGAAGCCTCTTTATTTCCCAAACTTATGTAGTCAGTCTACTATGACTTGAACAAATCAGTCCTATATAGTATCTTTCCTACAGTTTAGCTTCTGTATCTAGATGTTCAATGAATTATTTGAGTGCTTCATACATAGAATAACAGGAACCAGAAAGATAAAGAAGATATCTCCACATTACAACTAGGTAGGAGAACAAGATGATTCGAAAATCACCTTCATCATCTGCATACTTAAGATTGCTTGTGTTCAGTAAGGTGGCCTGTTTATTTCTACATTTATCTTAGTCTTTGGTGTTCAGATTTCTGAGAGGTAAATGACATTTTCTAAAATTTAAGGGTCATTATACCCAAATTTTGGGAAGTTAGAATTCCAGTCCTCCAATTATTGGGTATTAGATTGTAGACATATGAGTCAGTACCTCTGCATCAGTTTCCTCATCTGGTTACTGGGTTTAAAAATTGTATGTACATATTTTTGTTGGGATGATGAACTGTGCTTAGAATGGTGCTGAGTTTATATGAAGCACTAAGAATGTTAACTACCCATTGTGATAGTGAGGGAAATGTAGATTTAACTTACCTCATTTATTAGAAAGCCATTTGTGGAACATTTCTGGAAGCCTTTGGTAATATATGTGAAGCTTGGAGCACTTTAAGAATTTCATTCATCAACCTTGGGTCAAGGTGTATTAGATAGCTTTTTTTGTTCTTGAAGTCTCTTACAATTTGAAAATGTGTAATTGCTGCTTTCACATGAGAAAAGCTGTCATCTATGACAGAAAAGCTTGCCATGTTGTTAAATGGAGAGGAAAATTAGGAGGTCTTGTGAGGGAATGTAATTCACCATGGTAATTCATGTAATTCACCGGGGTGAGTTTCACTTTATGTATTTTGCTAAGTTTTAACACAGTTTGTACCAAACTAAGGTTTTGGGTTGACTGAGAAGTCTTAGATGACTTGCGTTGGAATTCTAAGAAGAAAAATTTCATACCCTTGGGGACAAATTAAAATGTAAAGCCACAAAGTGCTTGACAGTTATGGTAGAAATTATTCATTGATGGCAGCTTGAAAAATTTGTGTTTCAATCAAGTGATTTGTTTCTTGGACTTACAGATTTTGGACTTCATTGATATTATGGAAAACAATTTAATTGTGTGTCGTTTTGTTTGTTCAGTAGAGGAGTGAAAAAAAATTCAGGTATTTGACTATGTAATTAACTATATATTTCCTGACAACTCCAGATTCATTACATAGAGATCAAGTTTTAAATATTTTCACTTGAAACAGGAAAAATTCTGTATAAGATAGTTTCATAATATGGGAACCAGAAATCCCATTTTGGTCAAATGTTAAGATACCCAAGTGTGGGAAACACAAAAGAGGAACTGATTTCTGGTGCCCATTTTTGAAGTTACAGAAGTATATTGTACATGTGGCAGAGTTGTGCAAGTATGCATAGAGCTGATTCACGATCTATTCAGGCAGATGGATAAGAGAATCCCAGAGCCCTCAGTGGATATGTCAGGATTGAATGTTCTCTCAAGAATCCAGGTACACAGGCACACCAGGTAGGGATGCTGGTGAGCAAGGGGGCAGGCACAGGTAGGGGGTAAGGGGCAAAGGAGGGCTCTGAGTCAGGCAAGCAACTGAGTCTCCCAGTCACCCACAGATCTTTTTCAGGGCACTCGCTGACATTCTTTCATGGACTCTCTTCTTCTGTAGCCATTGTCCTCACTGAGTGACACTACCCTTATAGCCCTGATGTCTAGGCTCAGGTGTTCACAGTCAGATATGCGTGCCCAGTACCTATGCTCCCACATGCCTCTCGCATTAGCCTTCGGTGATAGTTACAGAGACTAGTAGCATAAAAAGCCTGATTAAATCACCTACCCTCCAAGCAGGTTTCAAAATGTTTGACCATAGTAAGTATACATTAAATCACTCATTCCTATATATCAGTGAGGATAAATATGCATTAGCCATTGTTCTTAGTCCTCAGCTTTGCTAATAATTGCCCCTGGGGGACATCTTTTGCCCAGAATGGTATAACGAAGAGGTTGTCCAGCAGAGCAGGATAGGAGCATTGACTCAAGAGTCAGAGTGCCTCGGTTCAATTGCTTATTCCAATTCTTTTCTTATGAACTGTGGCAAGTTATTTATCCTCTTTATGACACAATAGCCCTCTCTTTACAATGAAAATAAGGGAATAAAGTGAGTGAACATTTACTAAGTGCTTAGACAAATGCATGTCACGTGGTAGATGTTAATAAGTTTTTTGTTAAATGAAATTAAAAGGAAAAAGTGGTAGAACACACTTACACCTGTGAGAATAGCTCCCCAAAGATAGGTGGGGGGAAAAAATCAAAGACACCACTGAAAGTCCCAAATGCATATATATTTGCATTTATTGACATACTGGGTGTTTGTTTCATTTCATGTAAACACGTGAACATTTGCTTAATTTTTAAAAATAGTTTACACTTTTAAAGTTTAATTAAGTGTTCACTGATGGATGTTTCATTTGTTCTCATATTTTTTCTATCAAAAACAGCTCTGTAGAACATACATGTCCACATATTTTTTTGTGCATTTTTTCCCAGTGTAATTCATGGGATGTTTTCTCGAAGTCAGATTGATGGATATAGTGCAGCTATGTGCAGGGTGGGTAGGTTTATGATTGAGTTGGATGAATGGATAAAGGATCTTGGATTCCCTCTGTAGATTTTGATACAGGGCAGCAGGGCCTGTATCAAAATGTACAAAGTGTACCAAGGCCAAGGCTCAAACAGTTACTGTTTGTGTTCTTCACCTGTTCACACAATTATAACATTCCTCGGGCTTAGAAAATAACAACAAAGGGGTTTATTTAACAAACCATGGAAAAATAAGTGTTACTGAAGCCAATAATGACTCTTTATTTTACCCAAAGCCATGTCCAGTACTTTTCCATCCTGCACAGAACCATGCATTCTCACCACTGAGGATATAGAGCTCCTTTTGAACGCAAGACCAGGTGTCTACCATGGTGTCGTCCTGCCTCTGTGAACACATGGCAGCCAGCCTAGCTACAGACCAGGATCTGATTAGATCTCTCCCCTCCCCACTCCCTAACCCATCCCCCTCCTTTTTCAGTCCCTTATATACTTTATCAGTCACTCCACTTCACTTTTAGCACTTTCTCTTCAGGCTTTCTACTTCTACCAGCCACCCCCTCCGGGGGGAACCAACTGTAACAGTTTAGGCTTCAGCCATGGGTTACGATTGCAGAAGCTGTAGGATAAATTGAAGTGATCAGGTATTCTCCACCCTGCTCCATTAGCATCAGTGGTCAACACCTGTGGCCACACACGTGTGCCTGATGGCATCACCTGGAGTGTGGGTGTGCATGAGTGGGCACCCCTGAGCAGGGATTTGGAGCATATAGGGAAGGCAGCAGAGGATTTAGTGTCAGACTGCAGGAGAGAACAGCAGAGAATACCTGAGAGCCCAGAAAGAGTAAAGATTCCTGCCTTCCTTGCTCCTTGTTACCTCACCACAAATGGTGTCGAAAGAGCATTAAAAGCCTGAAAAGGTCATTGAGGGCTCCAGGATTCTCCTTTAGCTGTTCTCCTGGAACCTTAGAGAACCTGCTCCCTGCCTTGTTGGCACTGCAGTAGCCTTCAATGCTGAAGCCGGGAACCTGGTATACAGGCAGAGCAGGCAAGAAGGGCTGAGAGGCAGGCAGTCTCCTAGCTTTTCCATACCCGCCCTCCCACCCCCAAATCTTTGTGCTCTCTCTCTGGCTTCTCTTTCTCTAACACTAGTGACTGCTGGTGACCAGTAATGACCAGAACTACTGGCCCATGCTGTCCAGCCCTGTGGATGGGTGACAGGCACTCTGTGTCCAGGTCACTTCTGAGAACTGTGCTGTTGAGTCCGTAGCTGTCTGGGCCAGTGTGTGATGCTGTGCATCCTGACCTTCACACTGTTGGGGCAGTGGCTGCTGCTGCAGTGTCATCTCAGTGGCCCTGCCTGTGAGCTGCGTAAGGTTGGATACTAGCCTGCTTGCTGCTGGCTGGAGCACTAAGAACCCTAGGCCCTAGTTGACGGGACAGCGCCATCTTGGATGAGTGGCCTTTAAAAAAAAAAAAGGATTTATTTATGCATACAGAACTGCGATACAGGCCAGAGGAGCAGGGGCAGTGAGAGACCGATGGGGAGCAGAACAGCAGATTGACCGAGAACACTGCTGAGGGGAGCAGCAGGTGGTTCAGGAGAGGTCTGCCACGCCATGTGGGTCATCTCCAGGTTGGGGATCGAACTCATGTTGAAGTGGCTTTAGCTTCTTAGTGTTGTGCTTTAACACGTTGCACCACCAGGAAGGGCCCTGGATAAGTGGCTTTTGTTTAGGACTTTTGGACGCTCTCTGGGGTAAGAGAGTTGACCACTTATGGCCTTAGAAATTCTGTTTCCTGTTAAGTAAACCCCATTGTTTTTCTGGAGCCTGAATGGTCTTGCAGTTGTGCACACGGGTGATGAGCTCATAGTGACCTGTCTCTAACCAGCACTGTCCTCTTGACTTGCATTAACCCCTCAAAAGGCCTATTTCATTACTACCCTTATTTGTGGAGGGTTTGTTTCTTTTCATATATTTATTGTCCATTTTGGTTTACCCTCACAGTTAATTTTTTGTGACCTCCATTTTGTAAAAGCCAGACTTTCTCTCCTCATTAATTAGTATAGTTCCATATTTTGAGTTCCTACTGGCATCATTATAACCCCTCTGTGGGCATTTCCACCAACATGATCATCTCTATCAGCCACCAGAATCTGTGGTGTTAGGGTAAACCTTCTGAAACACTCTTTCTGTGTAGGTGTTTTCTCCGTGGTTTTAAAGTTCTACCCAGGTGTTGCTGGATCTTTTCTGCATTATCAATTAATAAATATTTAGGTTTTCAGCCTTGTAATCTCCACAACTGCTCAAGCTCATCATTGGAGCAAAAAAACCAACCATAGATCAAACCTGAATGTGTGCCTAAATTCTAATAAACCCTTCTATGGACACAGAAATTTGAGTTTTATATAGCTTTTATGCCACATAAAATTTTATTCTTCTTACTTTTTTTGGCCTCCACACACCTTGTAAAACCATTTTTAGACGATGGCTGTACAAAAACATGTGATGAGCACAATTTGTCTAGCAGACACTGCTTCTCGTGCATTATATTGTTCTATTCAAACCACTGAGAAAAGTGTCAAAGACCAGCATCCTTGTTGGCCACTAACATTGTGGTCAAGGCTACATTTGATTTTGCTGATATTCTAAACCTTTGAATTTTTTTTTAAGATTTATTTATTTGTGCATATAGAACTGGGGTACAGAGGTGCAGGGACGGTGAGAGGATTCACCAGAGACAGAGTGGGAAGCAGAACAGGCAGACTGTGAAAGTACACTGCTGAGGGGAGCAGCAGGCGGGTCAGGAAAGGTCTGCCTTGCCATGTGGGTCACCTCCAGGGCAGGTGGGGATCTAACTCATGTGGAAGTGGCTTTAGCCTCTTAATGCAGTGCTTATCCCCTGCGCCACCAGGGAGGGACAAACCTTTGAGCTTTAGCACTCGAGTCCACAAATATTTTTTACATTTTTTAAAGTTATTGTGAAATGTGGGGTTTATTATGTAAATTTTTTCTAACCTTGACCTTCCCTGGTAGCGCAGCTGGCAAAAATGCAGCACTGCAAGCTCGCTGCAGCCTCTTCAGTGCAAGTTCCACCCCTGGCCCTGCAGGTGACCCACATGGCATGGCAGACCTCTCCTGACCCGCCCACTGCTCCCCTCGGGAGAGTACTTCATCAGTCTGCCTGTTCTTCTCACCACTCTGTGTTTACTGAATTCTCTTACCACTCCTGCACCTTTGACCGTTACCCCAGTTCTGATTGCATAAATAAATAAATCTTTAAAAAAATGTTTTTTCGAGTCTCGGTGGTACTGATATATGTTTTTATAGTAAGCACTCCATAAATACTGCTCTCTCAGTCTGTTTTAAATGGGTTCATTTAGATATTTGATATGGGGGGGTATATGCTGTTTAATGTCTTTGAATACTGCATTGCCTACAAAGTGATTTAGAATTTAGTGTAAGTTTTTCATACTATATATATGAACAATTCTAAGGAGCTTCCTGAAAGCATAGGGGTGATGTCTCAGCACTATCATGCTATGATTGGTAAACGTGATTTTTATCCCTGGCCAGGAAGCTAATCTACATATGGCATGGCAGACCTCTCCTATCTTGCCTGCTGCTTCCATTAGCAGTATTTTTCAGTGAATCAGCCTATTCTGCTCTCCACTGTCTCTGGTGAATCATCTCACTCCCAGCACCCCCAGTTTATCTATGCATAAAGAAACAAATTTTTATAAAAATAAACTAAAATAAAAACAAATCCAAGTACTATAACTTTTTTACAGATGTACTATAATACCACTAGAATTTATTTTTTCTTTCTCTTGTGGATACTGTCATCTCAATGAATTAGTTTAATCCAAAACAAAAGATTGTTCAGAAAGTCTTGGCCCCACCTGAAGTCTATTAACACTTTGCACCAAACCAGTCAGCTTTCCTCTTTCCCTCTCAGATGAGTTTGGGGTAGATCTGTCCTTCAGTTTTCCCAAGTGCAAAGGAAGAATTCATATTTTATTTTCTCTTCTCAAGCTGAAATTCACTATATTCATAGTGAACTTAGACAACATTAGAGTGATTTGTACTGTATAATGCAGAAATCACTAATGCTATTGTCCCAGAAAGACATACAATAGACATCTTTTTTGGTACAGGTCTCTTCACTGACATCTAGTGCTTGATTCTGGCAGTGCCCAAGGAGGAAAGAGGCTGTTCAAGGTTTCCATTTACAGAGTTAAATGAGTTATATTTTGTGAAATTAAGCAAATCATAATATATAAATAATAAAATTATTACTGAGGTTCAGTGAGCTTCTTTGTACAACAACTCACTTTTATTTCTGCTTTCATTGTATTTTAGAGGTCTGCTTTCTATTTGAGAACAACCTCTGAGGATCATAATTAAGATAAATGACATAAGCGTCTAAATGTGTTACATATTTTGTTTATATTAAAAGTAATGAATGATTGGCCCTCCTTGGTGGCGCAGTGGGTTAAAGCACAGCACTAAGAAGCTAAATCCACTTCCGTATGAGTTGATCCTTGCCTGCCCTGGAGGTGACCCACATGGGTGGCAGACCTCTCCTGACCTGCCCACTGCACCCCTCAGCAGTATACTTCGACGATCTGCTTGTTCTGCTCCCCAGTCTGTCTCTGGTAAATCCTCTCACTGCCCCTGCACCTGTGGCCCATACCCCAATTCTGTATGCACAAATAAAATCTTTTAAAAAAAATAATAATGATGTATGAAGCTTGTATAGAATCACACTAAATTAAAAGTCAAAACTATTTTTTCATTTGCATATGAGCTAACTTATGTGACATGCCACCTTCAGAAGAGATTGCCCAATAGTTTATAATAAGCAGTGAGTGTTGGCAGCTATTCTTTCTTAAATGGGTTTGATGTGTTATATGTCATAGTACCTTATATGTGAAATGTCATAGTACCTTATATCTAGTAACAAAGAAATTTCAACAAAGTGTGATTTAGAATTTAATGTAAATTTTTGTTGTATACACTAATGACAAACATGCAATTCCAAACTTTTAATCACTTTCCTATTAACAATTTATGCTGTGAAACTCCATAATCATGTTTAATTTGTTTGATTTCTTGCCAAGAGAAATTTTCATTTACCCAATTAGCAAGTAGTTTCTAGAAGTTAGTTAATAAAAATGTCAGTGATAGTATTGTATTTACTAAAGGCAAAGTATTAGTACAACAGTTTCCTCTACTGTTAGAAAATACCAATAATTTTTTGGCATTAGAATGTCATTAAAACAACTTATTTTAACATTTGCAAGTTATTATTTATACTATTAAATAAAATTTAAAATTATTTGCTATTTCTACTCTTTTTATTGGAAAGGTATTTTTTTAAACTGCTATCTTCATAATGAAAAGTATTAAATATCCAATCCAATTACCATTTCATTTAGTTTAAATCCACTGGGTTTTTACTAGTAATTAAAAGTAAGTAGTTAATATTATTTGTCCCACTTAGTTAAATTTTTTATAATGTATCACATTTAATCAGGGGACTAAAATGTTTTACATCTTAATACATATATCATTTGTTGTTACCATTCTTATTTGATTTTAATAAGTTGATAATAATAGTGAGCTCAAAAATGTGTTATTATTAAAGAATTATAGTAGGGATTATTATATAATTACCCATTTTGCTAAAATTCTGCAAATTGTCAATCCTATAATTCTGCATGTGTTTTGGTAATTGAATGTAGTTTGTGATGTTTCTTCACCTACATTTTCAGTTATTGTTCTCTATCTTAAGATAGCTTTTAATTCTGGAGAAGTGAAAATTACTTTGGTAGTCTGCTGTTGTTTTCCAGTTATTAACTCCACTATTTAATTATCATCAGTATTTTTATATAGTGCTTTCATTTTAAGTGTTCAGAACCCTAATTTATTGAGGTATATCCCCAGTTTGCTTACATTGGTGTTTCTTCGTTTGAGTCACCACCCTTCTGTCCTTTTTTCCTGTTTTCTTGGGATGGAGCTGCTAAAGAATTGGAGCACTTCAGCATACTCATCAAGGAATTTTTGAAGGACTTGCAAAGGAAAAAGTAGATGAATGGATCCAAGCAGGCATTCAAGGAAGTTAGCCAGAGAGTGCTCTCTTTCACATAGAATAGAGTGTTCTCAGCAGAGCAGTCAAAGACATCTCGGGTTTGACTGAGAGTATAAGGAATTCGGGCAAAATGGAAAGGAACAAAACAAATAAAAAACACAGCAATGATAATGAAAACTTTGATGTTCACCTTTTTCCTGGGGGCTTTCCCCATACCCTTCGTTCTAATGTAGGACCTGTATAGTTCTTTTGTAATGAGTGTGTAACATACAATGACAATTAAAAAATTAATCCAGAAAATGACTTGACAAATATAATTGACTATTTCATGCCAGACCAGACCAAATTCTGATTTGAGGAAAGAGCATTTCTTCACATTCATGTCTTTTGGCCGCTTGTTGGTCAGAATCATGTTAGGCAGAGAGAGTAAAAACATGAATACCCAGATGATGACAGAGAGAATCTTAGCCCCCAAGAGATTTTTGGAGTTGGATGTTTTAAATGGTCTGGTGGTTTTCTGATATCGATCGATTGTTATCAGTCCTAGGAATGAAATGCTGATATACATTGTGAAATAAAATATGACAGAGGTCACTTGGCACACAAAGGTTCTCAGGGGTCCAGTTCCCAGCTTGGCATCACTGAGGATTTTGAATGGAAAGGTCAGAATCATGAGAAGATCGGAGATGACGGTGTTCTTAAGAAAAATTATAAAGTTAGATTTACTGTGAATTTGAAAGAAAATTCTCATTGCCAGGCTGTTCATGATTAGTCCAATGATAAATAGAACAATATAGAGCAGAGGGAAGAGGACCTGGGTGATTTTGTAATCTCTGGTACACAGGCTCCCATTTCCAGCTGCAGAAGTTAGATTGTCCATGACCCGAACTTCTTCCTACGTAGAGGAGTGAAAGCGTGGTTATTTTCAGACCTGGGCAGTTGATTTCAGTGTTATCTCACTGTGCAAACTTTCAGGATTACATTCTCTGAAAATTAAGGTTTCTTAACATCAGCATAGCAGTGAGAGAACACAAAAACTTGTATCTTGAAATATTTAGTCCATCTCTAGCAAAGTCATATGTATTACATTACTTGAAAATATGGGTATTTTGTTGAATGCTTGTCTTTTATAAGTCATTTTGAATTTAGGTGAATATCCAACTATGTGTGTATATGTGTGTGTGTGCACTCTCATACAGACTGGAAGAAAAAGGCTGTGACCTCAATTTGCTTCCATCCTTGAGCTTTTAGTTTCTACTTCCAAGTCACTTTTCGTGCATCATCCTTATTCCTGAGTGTTACTCTATCTTGATTAAAATTACTAAGGATAAAAGATGGATGCTTGACCAGTACAATTTTAAAGTAAAAAGTAGGAAAATATTTGACAGCATCGCTTGTGGAAGCATTAAATACTATACTGAATTTTTTTTTTAATCCTTGATAATTGTTAGATATTCTTGCCTCTCTGTTGTGTAGTCATCCTTTCAAGAAATGGCCTCACAGATAATCTCTTTATTTAACATCAAATATTCAAACCATGTATATTTTACTTCCAACTTTGCTCAGTGTTTTTGCAATTTCTAAATACATTTTCTTGAATATCATTCATTACAAATTTTTACATAGTGGTATCTGAATATCATCAACAACTGGCATTCTTCAAAGTAACCAGGATATACTTTCTAGATTCATGTAGCTTGCAGCAGTAGTTAGAATAAAGCATCAAAACCATGTGTTGGTCTGATTTCATAGATTGTTGTACCATAACAGGCAGTTATAAAAGAAAGCCAACACTTAACTTGAATATATTATCTAGCATCCAAGTTTTAGAATTAAAATGAAATTTGTAATATTTTCTGTTAATCAAAAACAAGTAGAATTGATTACATATGAAATAGTATTCCTAAATCTAAGACACAGGAATAAGTACAACTAATATAAATTCCATAAAAAATATTTAAATGTGACAAATATAGGTAGCACTAAATTCTCCAGAATGTCAATGAAATTATTTTCATCCTTTAATTATTGAAAGTAAATCACTTTGATTCATGTCACAATTATACTTTCATTTTTGAACACCTCAGCTGTTTAACTTAAATAAAAAGAATTGCTAAACAGAAATCAGTATTTTTTGAAAGATCTCTGGTTTTAATCTTCTCTACTACTGCTATTTGATTTCAGTTGTGCATTCTAATATGTTCAGAAATTCTACATTGGGAATTTTCTTTCTTATATACTCTAAGACTTGCTTAACAAGAACTCATGTAATTGAGAATTTCAAGCTCCCTTTATGAGATAAAATCTCCCTTTACATTTAAACCTTATTGTACACTTAAGGTTAAATAAGTAAGGCTACTTGTAATTTCTTTCCAAGTGCTGTATAATTTTTTCTAATGAAAAGGTTAATGAGTTTCCTAACACCATTGATGCAGCTTGGTTTTAATTTACATTCCATTCAAATGCTTGAATTGACTTTGTTATTAACAGCCCCCAATTAAAAAAAAAAACTTAAAAAAAGTGACACATGCATCACAGTGCAAATACATATACTTGTCATATATTTCTCTATATAAAGTTACCTGATTACTCTGTTGATTCTGAAGGATTTGAATGTATCCAGTAGTTGGTAGTTAATGCAACCTGTAGAAGAGTGACATCTGGTGTTTTCCTTTTAATGTCTTAGTTTAGTTGTTAAACCTGTCTATGAGTGAGAATTTGCTGAGTTTTCATCAGTAGAGTCTTGAGTGTTCTACAAAAAATTAGAGGGAGAGAATAGAAGAGAGAACTTCACAATCTGAAATTACCTTCAAACACTGTGGCCCAAAAGCTGTGCAGACACTGTATTTCCGTCTGTCTGCTTTTAGGACTTCTCCTTTTATTTCCCTGGGAAATGTGGGGCAGGATGGGTGAAAAGTCATCTCTCAGAAAGCAATTTAACATCTTGTGGCTTTTTACTGAAACTGGCCATGATGTTGATGCTTCATGAGTTCTTTTGGTTATTTTCCATGCAAATGATAAATCCAGGTTTACAGCAAGCCCTTAGAAGTCAGCATCCTGGAGAAGGTTGCAACTTTGCTTTTGCAGATGATTATTTACCTGGAAATATATTGTGCTCAACATAGAGTGATAGATTACCTTTTTACAAGTAATTTCATTAACTCAAAAAAGCATGCTTGTTAGGGATATGAAGTATCTTGCTCTCTGTTTTTTCTCTGGTTAATAATGTCATTTATTTTAAATCTGTGTTTGATCAGCTCTTTGTAGCAAAACAGTTTCCTCCCATTATCAATTATAAGATTGCAAAATTGCATTAGAAAAGAAAAAATTGTATCCATTGCCCGGTTTATTATGTAGAGAATATTCATATTCATGCTTTTCTCAAATAGAGTTTAAATATTAATAATTTTTTAATATAGTTTTTGGGTGAAAATACATCATTAAATTAAAGATCCATGCCATTGTCACCTGTAATACTGTTGTGGGATTTTTGCACACACAATTTTTTCTACCATCATGTACTATTTTTATTATAACCACAGTCTTTATTGTGAACATATGTTTATTTGCTTGTTTCTTCAGTTCTCAAGTACAGAAATAGCTCAGGGTCACCTGAGATGTCTTGAGAAATGTACAATGTAGCAAAACTTGTGAAAAAAATTCGTGACTATTTCCAGCAAATTAATATGGCACACCACAGGAACATGAATTCCAAATCCCTAAATCCCATTACTTTATTGAGAATTTATATCTCCAAATCCCTAGGAGGCTATGAAAGGGGATTTGAGAAATAAAGAAGAGATTCATCCCAAGATCTAAATTAATTTTATTTTTCTTGATTTATTTCATTAACCAAATTATCTGAGAACCTTCTGTGATGATATTCTATCCTTAGAGGTTCACGGCCTCTTAGCCATTTAGACCACTAGATCCTGAAAGTGATTATAATCCAAAAGGTTATAAAAGCATATTATATGAATAAAGGTAGAGCAAGTTGTGTTCTTTATGTATTACTGTCAGAAATAGGATTAACTTTGATTAACTTTTTTATATAGATGACTTAGCAAAATGACTTATTGAAACCCCCAAAATTTTACATGCATGTGGCTTTATTGATTTATTTGCCAAGACTACTACAAGTAGATGCTTAGCTGAAAATGTTTGCTTTTCAGAGGTTTTTGGGTAAAGATTTTTGTTCAACATTTTATTATGTTGGTGAGAAAAAATAAAAACCCCACTGTTGTTGAATGAAACAAGGTAATTTCACCTAAAATTGCAGTTTCCAAGATCTTATGGCCATTGTTAAATGAGGGCTTCCTGTACTCTGAATCCAGAGGACCATCCTAGGGAATGGTAGCACTCTGTGATCCTTGTGAAACCAAAATGAAGCAGGAGAATGAACAATATAATTAAGTCACTTGATTAACTTTTAGGCTACCTTAGTTCCAGTGTTGTGTGCTTTCTAAATGTGGTAGGTTCACATTGGTTTATGCTTTGATTAATCACATGCATTTTAAGGTGGTGCTTACTGTTTCTTCTGGCTGAGCTTTATTTGTTAGAATACAAAAACATAGGTCAGATATGAGGCAGTTTCCAAATAAGGAGTTTTGGGCAGTGAGGTATTTATCAAAAAAGACTGCAACCTGTAATGATCCAATCATTTAGCATCCATCTTTTGAGAGTGTTGCTTAAAAGCAGAACACCATTGAATATACTTAACCCTCTTGACATCCATTATGTTCCTAGGATTCATCTAATTTCTGGCCTCTTTTCAGACATGCTGGGAACTGTGAGGTATTGTAGAACAAAATTTTCTTATACAAATCTGATTAAAGGAGTCTCCTACTTTCCTGATTTAAAGAAAGTTTGTTTTCTTTCAGGCATAGTTTTTTATTGAAAAGCTGCTGACTTTTTCTTTCCTTTCACACAGGCTTCAAAAATGTGCACACTATTCTCCCATCCAGTCCAAGGGTCATTATTGATTAAACATTTATTTGAAGTTATTCTAAATAGAATAATAGAGTGGTATCTTGATAGAGTGAGACAAAAGAAATACTGTTTGAAGATTAACTCAAGTAAGATTTTAATAAATATTTTTAAATGGTACGTAAAGATTTATTTTTATTTATGCATACAAAAACTGGAGTGTAGGCCAGAGGTGTGGGGTGTGTGTATGTGAGAGAAAGGATTCACCAGAGACAGAGTGGGGAGTAGAAAGGCAGATGTACTGAAATACACTGCTGAGGGGTGCAGCGGGCAACATAGGAGAAGCCACTGTGCCACGTGGGTCAGCTACCTGACCAGGGATCAAACTCATGCTGTAGTGGCTGCTGATAGTTTGATGGTGCTGACACTTAACTCCTTGTGCCACCAGAAAGGCCGGTTTTGACTGTTTTTATCAGAGATGTAGTATGTTATGAAATTTATCTCATAATACATCATGGGTTTGCTTTGCTGAGAATGTATGGAATGCTAAGTTTTGTTTTATCAGGAAAATCACATCTCTATTAGGTTTTCAATACAGTATTGCAGAAAAGGAAGTGAATTTGTAGTGGGATTTTTTTTATTTCCCTTTAAAAAGAAAAATAATTCATTGATTTTAATATTCTATAATTACAGAGATATCAGAAAATATGAATAAGGTGGAAGGAGATTACAAAACAGTCTCCTCACCTTTCCACATCTTTGTAATCACACATATTTGACAGCATTTCTAGTCCCTTATTTTTAAAAAAATGATGCTGTCTTGGAGTAGATTTCAGTTAACTCCAGTTTTTACTTCAAAGGATATTTGACTTGAGAGATATATTTTAATTTCTGGATTCAACATGCCTTCCCAAGTGTTTTGAGTATTTTGAGTGAGAAATGTTATCTGGAGAAAGAAGGACTTTCAGAGTTCAATCAGAGGGAGATGATGCTTCTACACAAGAACTACAGCAGGTCGTCATGAAAGCAACACCAGGACTTGTGTGGATTCCACAATTTATTCTTTCTCTTACACAGCAAAAGTGTCTTTCAAGGAATAAGTACTAAACTTTTTTTATCTTGATCACCAATGATTAATATCAACTTGACAAGAGAACTCACTGGTAACACTGGAATATTTATTCCATTTTCTCAGGCTAGCTTTATTCTCATGTACTATAAATTGCTATTTAAAAACTTAAACATTCTCTACATGTGCAAAAATTTATATAAGTAGTGTAGGCTACTGTAAAGCAGCTGCTTTTAAAATATCTTTGTCTTAAAAACTATTAGTACCGGGCCCTCCCTGGTGGCGCAGCGGGTTAAAGCACTGCACTGAGAATCTAAAGCCACTTCAGCATGAGTTCGATTCCCGCCTGCCCCGGAGGTGACCACATGGTGTGGCAGACCTCTCCTGACCCACCCGCTGCTCCCCTCAGCAGTGTACTTCCTCGATCTGCCTGTTCTGCTCCCCACTCTGTCTCTGGTGAAGCCTCTCACCTCCCCTGAGCCTCTGGCCTGTACCCCAGTTCTGGATGCACAAATAAATAAATCTTTAAAAATATATATATATATATATATAAAAAAAAACTATTAGTACCTGTTATAATTTCCATAAAAATATTAATATCGGTCTTCATACCCCATTTAGAAGTGGATTAATTCTTCTTTTCCAGTTCACTCCATTCTGCTATTGTTTCTTTTAAAATCTACCTTCTTACTTTCAACTTATGACTTAGCTTCTAGGTTAATTCCCTGAGCACTATCAAATCTAGTGAAGGATTGAAGCTTCTTCAATTTCCAGTGTCCTCACAGCCAATTTTCCCTATATTTTCACTAATATTTTTCACTGTGTTAATTAGAAAGATGTCTCTGTCTTTCTCTCCAAGTTACTCCAGACAAGAAAGCATCATCTCCTATCTCCTTTACCAGTTATCTACCCATCAGTCTGGATCTCCTTAATGGAAGCTCCTTTGTTTAAAACATAACTTGAAACAAGAATTTAGTACTGATGATCCTAATAAAACTTTCTCTTTCCTCTCAAGCTATTGTTTTTCATGGCCAGCTGCTTGTTAATCTGTATTACTTTCCTCATTTTCACCATTTCACATTCTACTCATATTTCAACCCCTTGTAATTTGCCTTCTTCCTGTACCACTCTCCTTTGAGGTTTATTAGTCATATTGGCCACAGTATATGTTCCGAGGTGTGGTTCAATACTATTGATAGTCCCATTTTTAAATGTCCCCTCCCCCAATGTTTGTGGCCCTGCCCTTCACTGTCTGGTCATCTTGCTAATTATGCATGTATGCATCATGTGATGATTCATTTATCTCCTTCACTCTCAGTTCTCTTTGTTCTTTCCTCTCTAAAGAAAAGTTGGGAGGTTCTATACCACTTCTAATAGGGAATTCATCGGATGCTGTCCTTATAACCCATTTTCTCCCCTCAACATTTTTTATCTAGTCCACTTGAAATGCAGTGACAAATACATTCACTGTGATACCTGATTATTCCTTAACTTCCTTCAGATACCCAGATGTCTCTTGATTTTGCTGCTGCTTTTTTTTGGCCAACACTGAAACTTAGTTTGCACCATACTTTATTTTTGTTTATTTGTTATTCTGCTTGCTTCTCATTTCTCCTTTGTAGTTTCATCAGTACTTAAGTTTCAGGTTAAGTTGCCTACAAAACTAGTTTTTGTTCTCAGCTTTATTTCTGCCCTACTCCTATAGTCATTTAACTTTATTGTTAGTCCTCTAATTATTTCATGTATTCAACAAACACTAAGTGCCTAATCTGTGCCATTTAAGAGAATATAAATATGAGTAAAGCATGCCTGGGGTTTATCCTTCCAATGTGGACAGTGTAGAGGGAATGGCAGACATTAAACAAATGCTTAAGCAGGGTGTGAATTATACTGTGGTAACTGCTACTGAAGGCTTCCTTCTTACACTACTTCTCCAGGGAGACTTACACTAAACTCAGGTGAGGGAATGATGGGCCTGATGCTGTTATTGTGTATAACATTTATACCAGTGAACTTGAAAAGATTTTTTGGTAGCATTAGGAGCAACATCAAAGGAAATGCCCCAGGCATTTAGGGAAATGTTGGAGTAATGCAGTACAGTGTGGCTGTGGGGAACATACAAGAAAAAATAGAAGTGTGGGAATGTGAATGAATAGCAGAGGGTGCTGTGTTCTGATATGCTTCTAAACATTTTACAAACTTCATCTTAATTACTCCCACAATAACTTTACAAGGAAGATGGTGTTACCCCATTTTTTGAGACGTGTCTGAGACAGAGAAAGTTCCATTATCCAGAATCATAGAGTTGGCAAGTCGCACAATCTGGGTCCTGTCACAGCTTCCTCCCACCTCCAACCTTGGATGTTACTGGTACACCATGGAGTTGTAGTGCCTCATCTGATTGTATTAAGTGTGTGGTTCCTCCTGGATTCCTTTCCTCATCATCTCTGCTTGGAATTCTCGCTCTGCAAGTGCTGCCTTTATAGCTCTTTGAGGACAGGAAACATTCATCATTGTGTTTATTAGGGTTCCCAGCACTTGTGTCCTGTCATAGATAGATACTCTATAGCACTTGTTGAATTATTTTGCTGTCATCTTTCCATCGCTCCATACACACAGTCTACATTTAGAGCCCTTTGAGAGGTACATTGGCTAAGAATAATTGCTCGACCTGTGACTGACACAGCCCAAGTTTTACAGTTTTTTCCCCTTTTTCCATTCATGTGGCTCCTATGGACAGATCACACCATATAAGAGAAGGGCATAATCTGTAATGGCAATGGAATTAATGTGCCATTAAGCTGTATGGCCAGCCCTGGGGATTACTCCCTGTGTATTCTCTGCCCTGTGACCTGGTCTATATTTTGAAAATTTGGGGGAGATTTGGATCTTCTAGGTATTATAATAAGAACAACTCTGGAAGTGACTTGCCTCTTGTACTCTTTTTTTTTTTTTTTTAAGGGGGTAAATTTGAAATATTAGGAATTAAGTGGAATGGCAATATTGAGTGCCAGGTATACAAATGTATGTTTCTGTTAGAGTGTGATTAAAAAAGGAATCAGTGCAAGAAGAAGTGAATATAAGTGTGGGGGAGACAAGAACAAAAGGACTGAGAGGAAAGTGACAGAAACAGAAAATATTTCACATTTGCAAGAAGCAAAATGCTATTTTGTGTGGAGCACACATGTGTGAAGGAGTACAAATTAAACATTGAAATTCCCCCAAGTCACAAGGCTCTACTGATCGTGAGCACGCTATGCCTTGCTTTCCCTGGGTGATAGTCTTTTCTCATATGAACTGAGGGCTAGATACTGTTAGGAGAGCTAAGCCTGCACAAAGAAAAGGAGATGTAAAGGATAGAGCTGAGTATTTTAGTAATAAGAAAATGGAAAAATATGAGATCCAAAAGAGCAATTTAGATTGAAATGTTGAAAATCTAGGTGTATCCTATACTGTTTAACTTTGGTAAAGGAATGTGTTTAATAGTGTGTACATGTTTTTGTTATGCTGTTGATTAAATGATTTTCATTCACAGGGAAAAACTATGATTGAATTTACTGTGTCTGTGGGGTAAGATTCAGGGGGTAGTACAGAAAAGGAATATGCTGTCAGAACATGTTTGCATTTCCAACTATTTACCTCATACCTAATGATACCCGCACTTTGCGTTATTTTGTCATTTGGAAATACATATTCTTGTATCTGACATACTTGTTGGAAGTAAATGAACAGTCTTACAAAATTACTCTAGAATTGCAAGATCTTTCATTTTTTTTTCTAAATATAAAATATTTAATGATGTTGTATATAGAAAACCAAGCTTACTATGAAGTAGCATTTTCCTTAAGGGAAAAGTATGACTACGTAGTATGTAATATAATGTGAAATTAATACCATGTAAAATTTAAACAATGAAAATTTTTTTAATAGTTCAAAACTTACTTTGTAGGTAACGCCCACATCAAATGCTTCTATTAAGACTTCAGGTCAGTTGACACTTTTTTTACTTTAGCAAGTTCCAAACCGGAAGAGCAAGGGTGTTGCCAGTGGAGGTTGAGGTGAATTGAAAGATGGGTGGGTTCCCTGCACCGCAAGCCCGCATGGAGATGCTGTGGTTAGAGCATTTCATAGACATGAAATGAAGCCCCACCCCTGCCAACAAAGGTTTCAGAATGCATTTTCTGTTTTCCAGGATGAATCTTCAAGTCATGAATGTAACCAGCGCACGATCCTTCTTTATGGAGTGGGCAAAGAGCGTGACGAGGCGAGGCATCAGCTGAAGAAGATTACCAAAGATATTTTGAAAATCCTAAATAAGAAGAGTACCACAGAGACAGGGGGTAACTTGTCTTAATACATTCACTTCCATTGTGCTGCCTTCTGTCTCCCTCTTAGCACAGTTTTTATCAGGGTCGTCCATGGCACTGTCACCAGACCATTTCCTCTCCTGAATGACTTGTCATGTTGAAATATGAATAAGCACTTAAGATGTTGAAGCCTTGGTTTCATTTAGAGGAATCCTTGGCACTAAAAGAGCATTGCCTATAGATCAACATAGGTCCTTTTTAATTTTATACTCACTCTTAGGCTTTCCAAGTTTTCTATTGGAACCATAAATGAAATATGAAGCATGAATTGACAACTGCTAACATGGTCATTTTTCAGTCCGTTCTTTGCTCTGGATACATATATGTGCATGATAATTAAAAATCAATATAATTGCTAATGTTTGCTTATATTATTCAGAAGAATAACTGCAATAATACCTAGATAACTTGAAATCTCAAGTCAAAGAGAAAACTGGGCCTTTGCTCTACAGTGCCTCTGGACTGCTCTTTCCCTGTGCTTTTACGTGTTTTTTTCCAGTGAGAACATGTCTTTGTATTATGTCACCACATTTATATTTTTCTACCACATGGAGTTTTGTACTTAATCACTTCACATTTGCCTAATTACTTTTTTCAAGGTTTATTTTGTTAGGCAGTTACATGATTTAAAATGATGTCATTGTATGCACTCCATTACCGCCACTTGTGTTTATTTCTCTATTACGTCAATAACACCAAACAAAACAAATCTTGGATTTTTTTCCCCTATGTACACAGCATTCATCCCACACATGGCATCATCCACTTCCAGGATCACCACTTCGTTGCTCACCACACAATAGTTTTTTATGAACCTTTCCACTGGAGAGCTGATCTGTGAACTTTTACTGGATAAACTACTAAAGCTTGTCCACATTAGATTTTTCCTACAGAACAGTGCAGCTAGAGCTAATGTAAATAACTCCCTCCTCAACATAAACAGAGGCACACAAGCAGAAACAGGGTTCATCGGCAACATGTTTTCCAGTCTGGATGTAGGACTGCAGGTGCCTAGTGTCTGAGGAGACAGTCCTTAAACACAGTGGTGACATTAGCTTCAGCGACGGAAGGGAGAGGTGTGCCTGACTCCCTTCCACCACAGTGGCAGGGCCTTGCACTCCTTTGACTCTATGAGGCAACCACCAACAATTGTGGAAGGGAAATGAAACCCTGTTGTTGTTGGCCTGTCATTACTGAACTTGGAAGAAAGAAAAAAAAAACTGCTTTAAGAAAAACTGTTGATCTGTTGTTTCACTGTTTTTTCTCTTTGAGAAAAGAGGAAATGGGGAGCATTTAGGAGGCTCAATTTAGAAGCTAGCAGAAGACATTTGCAACTACTTCTTGTGTAATTGGAAATGAGGTGACACTATTTTTAGGAGGCTTAGTAATATGTGTTTTATCTAACTTAACTTTGAAGTCTTTGCAGGTCTTATGGAATGTTTGGTACAGGAGGCTGAGAGAGATGGGAAGGGGAAGGAAGCATGTGGTGTCCTTTCTGTTGAGTCCACTTCCTTCCTTCACAAAGAGTTCTAATGCCAGACTGCAGTTTGTGTTTGTTCAGGTCTTTTAAAAAGGCAGTTCTTGCTCATGAACTCACAAAGGGAGAATCATGCTGCTTAGGCAGATAGCTGGAATAGACACACCATTAAGGGAAGGCTTCTTCAAGGGAGATTTTGGTCTTTTCCTCATTTGGGATATAGTAGGTTGATTTTTGGTAAATAAAGTTAAATGACTACTTAAAACCTAGTATACTTCTCAGAAGTTAGCTGACTGTATTTCATGTTAGTGGACATTTACCCAGATTTTCCAGCAGAGATGAGTACTCGTAAGGCAGGAAAACAGAGCTTGTGTTTGCATGTATTTGATTTTTGGCTATATGTAAAAATAAGATTTTGAAGACCCTATTAAGTGTGTTCTTGGGTCAGCAGCCTTTTCCTATGGGAATTTATGGGAATTTATAATCTAAACCTAAAAAGTGGTATTTCTAGTTGAGTGTGATCAGACCCCTCTTATGTTTACATTCGCTAATCATCTTGATTGCCTGTTATGTATTTTTTGAAAATATTATTGAAGTTTGTCTTACATGGTGTGAGAGCTACAGTGACCACATTACCTGAGGGTAGAAATCCTACTGCTAAAAAATTAACAGGAATGTAGCAGTCTTTTTCATTAAATGATAATAAATTAAGTAATAATCGTTTAAAAAAGTACAAAAACAACAAGTGTTGGCAGATTTGGAGAAAAAAGAACCCTCATACACAATGGAAATGTAGGCTGGTCCAGGCCATATAGAAAACAGTATAGAAGTTCTCAAAATATTAAAAATGCATCTGTCATACCCTAGCAGTTTCACTCACAGGAATCTACCTGAAGAGTACAAAACACTATGTCCAAGGGATATATGCACCACTGTGTTCAATGAAGCAATAGTCAATTAATGAAAACAACCTAAGTGTCCAATATGAGTGGATTAGGAAGATGAGGTATAAATAATGGAATATAACTGAGGTGTAAAATATGATAAACCCTTGTCATTTACAATAACATGGATAAGAATGGGGGAAATGGGGGGGGGGAATTCATTCATGTGGAATATGGAGAAATAAAATAGGCAAAAATAACCCTAGAAACTGTAACAGTAGCTATATCTGACTGTAAATATGAGACTAACAATCAAGGAGGTGGATGTTGGAGAGCAAAGGGGGTGGTAGGCCCAAGGGAATATAGTGGAGGAGTATGGGTACCCTCAGTGCTGGTTGTGGTGTGGTAAAATACCTAGGGAGAGGTGGTGGCCTATATCTCTGAGTTATATGTAGTAGTGTGGACCAAGGTTACCTTAATTTTAAAAATTCAAAAAAGTAAAGTTTACCATAATAATCTAAAAGGCTAAGACAAATAGTCAAAAGTAGCAAATGGTTAATATATATTATGAAATCAAATTACCATAATGTTCTGTAAATATCATTAAAATAGTGTATTCTATTCAGACCCACCATTAACTTCCTACATTATTATTTGAAAGTGAATTTAAATTTCCAAGGATTAATTGTATCTTTTTTAATAAATTTTTTTAAAGTTGGCTATATATATGTGTGTATGTGTATGTATACATATATTTACACACACACACACAGACACTCACATAAAACTTTACATATGTATGCAGGGACACAAAACTTGTCAGCTAAAACAGACCAAAAAAGGATGCTTTTATAAGTTTTCATACTGGATCTACTTCCAGAGGTCTTTCATTTTTGGTTGTTTTAGTTCCAAGGACTAAATAAATAACAAAAACTTTACTTTTTGGATAAATTTAAAGTAGACAGTGTGTTAGTTTGAAACATTGTGTATAGTAATTTGATTGCTGTTGTCTTGATAGTTAGGGCATTACATAATTACAGTACAATAATATTGTGTATATTCATTGTACAGATGTTATGTCCCTATGACATTTCCTACTCGTTAAAGTTTGTATTTTTGAACACTATCACTCTTAACCACCCCTTCTCCTGGTAACTACCATTTCAGTCATTTTTTTTTTCATGGTTGAATTTTTTATTCCATATATTAGTGATACTATTAAGTACTTGTTTTTCTCTGACTTATCACACTTAGCATAATGTGTTCAAGGTCCATCCATGTTATCTCAGATGACAGGTTTCCTTCTTTCTTGTGCCTTAATAGAATTCTGTGTATAAACACCATGTTCATCTACTGATGGACATTTGGGTTTCTGTATCTTGGCTATTGTAAATAATGGTGTTTGGCAAACCATATATTAGCTATGAGGATAATAATCCAAAATAGATAAATAGCTTATACAAATTACTAACCAAAAAACATTTCAAATGGACAGAATAACTAAATCAACATTTTTTTTCCAAAAAGGATATCAAAATGTCCAACATGCATATGAAAAGATGCTTAACATCACTAATTATCTGGGAGCTACAAGTCAAAGCCACAGTGAGAGCCTCACAGCAGTGAAGAGTGAGAGTTGTCAGGGTGAGACCCCAGCTGCTGGCCAGAGTGTAGTTAAAAGGGACCCACTTTCCTCTCTTGGTGGGAATATGCATTACTCCAACCATGATGGAGAGCAGTATGGAAGTTTTCTGTAAAAATTTATCATAGGTTTATTGTATATTCTGGCAAATTCACTTCTAGGTATATATATCTATCTATAGGACATGAAGAGAGGATTTCAATGAGATAGATGCATTTCCATGTTTAACTTAGCATTTAAGAACACATTGTAAACAAGACTATTGATGAACTTTCAACCTGGGATCAGTTGAAAAGTTCACAACATTGATATTTTAAATGTGTTCATGATAATGCGAGTAAATGTATTGAGTACAGAATCCACACTTAATTGATATCTTTGAGACAAGATATTGAAAAATAAGTAAGTTCAATACACTTCTTCATTCTTATTTTGCATCACATTTGGTGTTATTTCATAAAAGTGGCACATTCTATTACAAATACTGTGGCTGCCACCACCACCGCTACCAATCCTACAGTCTGTTACACAGCACCTTTTTAGTTCTGTCTCACTGTCGTCTCAGCATGTTTTAGTAAGCCCACAGTTTACTAAAGTGTTGTTTCTGTTGTTTTTTTGCCTCTAAATTCTAATTGCTTATTTTTGAAAAAAAAAAAAAAAGACTTATTTCTTGTAATGTTATTTTCTGAAGCATTTACAATTAGCAAAATCTTTGAGATAAGCAACCTTTATAATACTTTTTATTTGAACTTCTTTATACTAAATTGATAAGCACAGCAACTGCCCATCAAAATGAGTGATTTAACTCCTTGCTATCCCTAAAAAAAGTAGCATTGTATAAATTTCCCTGTTTTTACATATTAATCTGTTTGGGAAAGATAATGCTATAGATCTCATAAGATACCAACAAAGTCTAAATGAGCTTGTGTGATGTTTCTTCCTCCCTTTCATTGTTGATACCATCATGTTTTAAAATTCAGTTAAAAATGTTCCTAGAGGTACTTCTCATTGAGAGCCTAAGTTGAAAAACTGTTCACCAGAATGGATAAATAAATGATGGAATGATCACATATTAGGATATTCTACATAAGTGAGAATTATTAATTTTTAGAATGAGATAAAATTAATTTGACAGCATGGCACATTCACAAAACCATAGTTGAATGAAGGATATCAGATGTGAATGGTGTATATTGCAAGATTCTCCTTATATGATGTTTCAAAGTGGCTCATACCAATCAAAGGATCCTCTACAGGGGAGGATCTTGGTTGAATGGAGAGAGAGTAGTGAATGGATAGGGCTTGTAGAGATTTCTGAGCTTCCTGATCACATGAGTTTATTGACTTTTTGGGAATTCTTAAGAGTTTGTAAATTTTTCTGTGTATGTTATACTTTCATTAAAACTATCACTCAAAAAGGTAAAAATTTTATGTTAAATGGAAAATAATGTGTCTACTGCATGTTTATTCAGTTGGGGATGAAGGACAAAAAGTCAGGAAGAGCAAACAGGAAGCATTTCCATCACTGGAAACTGTGTTCACAAAACTTCAGCTTCTCTCATATTTTGACCAGCATCAAGTCACATCTCAGGTAGTCATTAAAGCTATCCTATTATGCATTTGTGACATTCACATTTCCTTAAAATCTCCTTTGCTGTAATATTTGTTTTCAACCTTAGTTTCCTTTTTTTATATAAATACATTTTTAAATATGTTTGGAGCATTCCAACTATTGAACACTTCAGTTTTAAGATGTCAGATTTCCTTTCTCAGAAAAAATAATGTTTATCATGAAAATACTTTTACCTTGTAATAGTAAATACTATATACTGTATTACATGAAATAAAACCTAATGTCATGCATTTTGGTTATAAGTTGCTATTGATAAGGAAGAATTCTGTTGAGGACTGAAAATAAATATTAAGTAATTTTGAAGAAATCTGTTTTATAAATTCACTGGTGTTATCTGTAAGTTAATCAACATTTGTAGTTCTATCTTGGTAATTAGGTCTGTATCTTAAGGATAATTCTTCAAATCATAGTTGTAATAAGGAAGTTTTAAAGAATTGGCCTTTTAATTATTTTTACCTTTTTTTCACCAGATCTCTAACAATGTGCTAGAACAGATAACAAGCTTTGCATCTGGAACATCATATCACCTCCCTTTGGCCCACCACATTCAGCTCATCTTTGATCTCATGGAACCAGCGCTAAATATCAATGGACTAATTGACTTTGCAATACAGGTGTCAAAGAGATCCTGTTTCTCTTATTTAGAAGAAAGCAAATCTGCCAGACATCAAGTTAAAATGAGCTACCAAGTGCATTTTGAGTAACTGAGTCATTCTAAATCAACAATATTAATGAACATATTAATTTGACTGTGTTTAGTTTCTAATTAGATGATTATAATTGGCTGTAAAATATATAATAATAATTAAAATATGAGTGCTTAGAGGATTTTTTTGCTTATGAAAATGTGCAGGTTTACTTTGGTTTTTATAATACAGTATATTTTATGTTTATAGGCTCCCCAAAACAAAATCTTATGATATGATTTACCCCACTATATATCCACTATATATTAGTGAATAAAAATACAACTTGGTTGTTAATACTTATTCAGCTGGGGGGTGGTGGGCTTTGTTAATAACAAGAAAATGATGATAAATTACTTCCATTTTATTACAAAAAATGAAAAGTGGTGGGGGAAGGATTTTCATCTCTGAAATGATGTAGTCCATAACTTTCGCCCTCCATAAAGATTTTAGTTACTGTCCTAGTTTGGGTAATTCCCTATTGCATATTTCAAGATACACAGACAGAGTAAAACTTTAATTTGGTAAGGATTTTTAAAAAAACAGTCATTCATTGATATGATATTTTGAGTCCTATATAAAGTTCTGGACCATGATAATGGTGAAACTAAGTAGTATAAAAAGAATCTATTCATGGTTTGTAAAATTAAGCGTTTCCTCATTTCCTATGTTTTCAGTCAATCAATCTTCTCTCCCTTTGTAGCTGCTAAATGAGCTGAGTGTTGTAGAAGCTGAACTGCTGCTAAAGTCCTCCAGCCTGGCGGGCAGTTACACAACCGGCCTATGTGTCTGCATTGTGGCTGTTCTCAGGCGCTACCATAGCTGCCTGATCCTGAATCCTGACCAGACAGCCCAGGTGTTTGAAGGGTTGGTATATAAACTGCTATTGTTTTTCACGTCCTAGAGTGAGTGATTTGGATGAAATTTTATAGAGGCCTTATGAGAAAATAGTGCCACTTACTTCAATAAAGATATAACATGTTTAAAAATACTTTTGCAGGTAACATTTATCAGAGATACAAGCATGAAAAGCATGTTCTTTTTAATAAGATATCACTCCTTCTTCCTTGCCTTCCTCCCTTCCCTCCCCTACTTTCTAAGAGTATCTACCATTCCCTGATCGCATCTGTTGCTTATGACACCCACCAGCATGGTTTCTTGGGAATGGTGGATATGTGGCTTCTTCTTTCTTCATGTAACTTCAGTTTATATTTGTAAAATCCAACATTAAATAAACATTGCATGTATTGTTGACCTTACAGATTTATCTTTAATTTCATTTCTTGTATACATTGAATAGATGTTTTTATCAAAATTTTATTAGAACAAATTTTTCATCTTAATCTTTGTTTAATTAGTGTGTATACTGGCTATGCTTTTCTCTATTGCCATTACTGAAATGAGCAATTTGCATAATATGCCCATTGGTAACTAGGGCTACTGGACCCAAGAAGTAAAAGGAGTTCTCAAAAAAAAAGCCAAAACTATAGCAAGCTCCCCTTTGTCTATTGCACACTCCTATCTCCAGGTCTTTTGGGAAAGAATACAACCAGTTTTCCTTTCTCTTCCAATTTGTCTCCTAAACTCTTAAGAAGCATGGGGTTCTTTGGTTTGGTTCATCACAAAGAAACCAAAGAACCCCTTTTTTCTATAATCTAGCATATGTAATTCTGAATGCCATCCATTTACACCAGGGTTTTTGGGAAAAGGAAATCCACAGAAGTTGCACATAGAGATGACTGAGTGAAATCTCAAGCATTCCACATATTGTTAGATGTGAGAAAACAGACATCTTAATTCAGAAAGTAAAGAACTAATTCAATAACCCCCATCTAACTTTTAAAATTGGTTAATTGGTACCATTCTACACTGAAGAAACTGTTGTTCAATGAGGTGTTTGGTGAAGTAGCTGACATCACACAGCTGATAGATTCCCAGAAAGTCTGATAGATTGCTGAAAGTCTTTCTAACTAGGAACTTATTCAAGCTCTTGGTTTATGCTGTACTTTTAAAACTGTTTTATGTAAATTTATCAGTCATGAAATAAAATTTAATAGATTTTGACAATACATTGTTTGAAATCTATTGCCATTTTATTTATTTTGGTATTTTCAATTTATGTGCTATTAAGTAGTCATAAAATCACATATTAATTTGATTATATTGTTTTCTTCCATCATGCATAGTAAGAATAAGTATTATCTTCAAAACTATTATTATTTTGGTTTATTTTGTACTTGAATGAATATACAGGTTCTCGGTGTGTTTTTCTTAACTTTAGCAAATGAAAAAATTTTGGGAAGCCCTGAGTTCAATATAATATTTTAGATGCCCAATAAACATTAAGTTTTTTTTTTTTTACTTTAATCAGAAAAAAATATTTTGTTTTATGGATATTAAACTTTTTTTTATAAATGGCACAATTTGAGTCATTTTTTCCCCCCAGGTGTGTGGCACTTTTACTATAAATGATAGCTTTTATCAGCTGACAGGTTGACTCCATTTTTTTATGTCTGTTCAGGGGGCTTGGGATGTTACATTGCCATTTATACAAATGCTCTCCCAGGTTTCCACGTATTTGTGATTTCAGTGTCCATTGCCTTAACATCCCAGGCACTTAACTTCCCCAGCCCCTAATATTAGTGGATAGAACACTGTACTGGGTGTCCAAAGACCTGATATATTGTGAACCAGCTCCTTGCCTGTGGCAAGTTACGTTAGTTTTCTTGCCCACAAAACTTCCTCTCTATCTGCTTTTCAAGAGAAAAATTAATCAGATTATTTTAAAGCCATTTTCAGTTTTAATAAGTGGAGCCATCTGTGGCACTATTTTAGTTTGGGGGGGCTAACCCAAAAACAGGTTACAAAGTGGTAATGGAATCAGGATCACAAAGAAGTAGATTGGTCAGTAGTATACTGATCTGTTTAGTTCTGATTTGTCAAAAAGGGGATAAAACCACAGCAGTCATGAAGTTACTGAAACTAAAAGACAGTAAATATCACTAAAGTACATTTTAAATTCTTGTGTAAGATAAACTAAAATTTGTACAATAGTTTGGATAAAAAAAGAAGAATGTGACCTCAAATCGTGGATTATTCAGTCGTGTGCTAGAGCCTTTCATGCTCTTAAAAATGCGTATTACCTGAAGAATTACTCCTTTATAAAAAAGACTAATGATCATTGTATACTCCCTGAATTTGTGAATCTTTTTCCTGAAAAGAAGTTTCTGCTTCAACCTAGGTTTTTTTGTCATAACAAGTTCACTGTTAGGTTCTACATATGACATTTGTATGGTGACTTTTCTTTTTTGTTTCATATATATTAGTGGCATTTCTTCAGCTTGAAAAAATACTAAGTTTTTTTCAGTTTAATGATAGAAAGTGCTAATTTGTCAAATCACTTAATACTATAATGATTAATGGCAACAGTCTGCAATGTATTTTTTCTTTCTCAAGTAATACATTGACATATCACTTTGAATAGACCATGCACAGACACACACACATTACCACAGTATATGTCATTTCTTCATATTTTTTTCTCCTTAGGTTGTGTGGTGTGGTAAAGCACGTTGTAAACCCCTCAGAATGTTCTTCCCCTGAAAGATGCATTTTAGCCTACCTCTATGACCTCTACGTATCATGTAGCCACCTCAGAAGTAAATTTGGAGACCTCTTCAGGTGAGTAAAAGAAAATTGTAAGAAACAACAGTATTGCCATTCCTCTCATAATGAAAGTTAATCATAACTATACCTGCATAATTCTTATTGAGTGACCTACCATTGTAATGTTAACCTACTATTACAAATTATTGTGCTTGTTTATTATGATTTTAATTTTAAGATAAACTTTAGAGAAAATATCCTATATTTTGAACTTACTATTAACTCTCACGGGACATTATTTCCCCATTTTTGCATCATTTCTCACTTATTTCCTTACTTATCTTCCTTCTTTGTTGCTTTTCCCATTCCATTTCAAATAGCGTCCTAGCTTTCTATCACTCTTTACATTTTAGCACTTGCTCTCCCCACAGACAGGTACTGTCAAAAATGTACTATTTTATGTTATTCTGAGTAAATTTAAATTGTTAATTGTAGATGGGAGAGAAGGATATAGTAGTAGCCAACAAAATAAAGCTGTTATCTAGAAGATGTTAAGGAAAGGATAATCATTATGGTTGTATGTGCTTTTTGTACCTTGCAGTCAGATTGTTTCATAAATCTTGTGCACTGCCTTCCAGGTGTATATCTAGAAACTGACTGCTCTTCATTGCTGTCTTACCACCATGGCTATTTTTCAGTTGGACCCTTGTAGACTCCTTTGCTAGTTATAGTAGGGCACATGCATTTTAATCCTAGCTAATTTTGCTGCTTGCATCCTTAAGCATTTTCTCAAAAAACTAAGGTCATCCTTTTAAAATAAGAATAATCTGAAGTTTTCAATGGTTTCATATATTTTCAGAATAAAATTCAAAATCCTTACCTAGCTTCAGGGTCTAATCTTATCTTCTTCTTCTTCTTCTTTTTCTTCCCCTCTGTTCACTCTAATCTGACTGCAAGGACCATGTGAGTGTGACCATGTAATCACACTCCATCTTGGAACTTGTTACCTTTTGTAAATTTTTTCCCAGTCACTGCATGTTCATTCCCACAGCTTATTCATAACTCCATCTCCCTAAATACCATCCTACTCTCTCAGTAGGGGCAACTCTATTCTTGGGTACATTATATATTTATTTTCATCCTAACTCCTTACAGATTTTAAGATTCAATAGAGCAGAGAATTTATCCCTTTCACACTGTGTCACAGTATGTTGAGTGTTGTGACACGGTGCCAAATCTGGTGGGTGAAAGGCATAAATAACCCATGATATTTATAATAGTTTATATGGGGAAAATTGTGAATGCTTCATGAAATGAGTTAACTTTCAAAATAATCCCTTATAGATCCTTTGAGTTGGTCTTAGGAAACACCATTCCCCAGAAGTGATATAATAACAGTGCCCTTTATTTTTCTTTTATGTTACAAAGAGCTTTCAGTTTCAGTTTACACTTTTCAGAGTATTTTCTCAAAAAATGTTTTATTCTTAAAATAGCCCTGGCTTTAATAGTGAGTTTCCTGTGAAATCCCCCATAGCCTCTTTGATAACTGTTGCTTCTGCATACACGTACATCCAGTGAGTTAATGAAAAAAATGTACACATGAATATGGAGATCTAGGAACGCAACGATAGACTTGACTGGCTACTTAGGGTCAGCATATTGTAACATCATAAGCATGGTACTTTCTAAACTTTCTGGGATTAAAGATACAGGACAGAAATGAAACTATTCCTGAAACCTTAAAGTCAAACATTATTAGTAGTGGAATTAAGAAAAATGGGCAAACAAAATCTAGATATGTAAAATAATTTCTATAAATGTTTTAAATAAAACTATTTTAATAATTGGATCTGAAATACCATCTGTATAAAGGGATGTAAGAGAATGATTTGGAGGAACTGTAACAGTAATCTCATCTCTTGCTGATTGGGTTGCTGCTATCTGTCAAATCCTGTCTTTTATTAATTCTCCCAACAACCCAGAAAGTGGAGAGGACTTATTCTACTAACAAATAATTATTCCTCCTTAGGTTAATAAATGACGAAGCCTAAATGATGAACATTCTCCTTTTTATCAACGTATCAATAATTTAGGGTAAAGAAGCACTGTGCCTTTTTATTTTTTAGAAAATATTTCTTGTCAATGATTTTCAGAAATAAATTTGCTGTCAAAAACTTTAAAAGAAAAAGACTTTGTGCTACCTAAGAAACCTCTTGAATAGAGAAGGCAAATGTTGCTATGAATTCATTACCCACAACAAAGAAGGCAAAGATAACTGAATTTATATGAAATGTGAGCTTGGAAATCAAATCAGTTTTTGGACTTGTCTACAGAGCAGTAGTGGAGGAGACATGTTCTCATTCCTTTTATATTTTGATTCTTCTGTATCTTACTCAGTTGTAACTTACATGAACTGTTTACATATGTAAACAATCCTGTGATAGACCAAGATCTTGAAAAATCTCTTGATATTGCTATGAAACTCACTATAAATTTTTAAGAAGGACATAATAGATTCTCTGCTATCACAGAACTTAAGTAATTTATGTTATGGTACAAGGTCCGTGAGAACAGGAAATGAGCCCCTCATTTTCACAGCTTTCCCACAAAACTTGAAGCAATCTTGTTAGCTGATTGTGACTGGATGCACTGTACCAATCAGTATGATTTTGGAGAATATATACTACTAATTAGGACTGAAATGCCAAGTTGTTATGATGTTTTAACCCATTTTTATATTTCTTTAATAACATTCCACGAACTGTTTACACAGAGATAAAAATAACTGTAAATTATTTTTAAATCACAGAAAATGGAGAAATATTTTTAAATGGAGATTAGTAACTAGGTGACGTATTTTTTCTCCCCTCAATCAGCAACTGTTACCTTCTATGCACTGTGCACACTGCCAATCATTAAGAAATCAGAATAAAGAACTCCAGTGTGGCTCTTCTTTAGAGATATAATTGTGGCCATATTATCTCCTTAAATAAATTTATAGTTATTATAGTTTTGTTTCTTTTTAACTTTTCTTCTTATAACCTCAGTAGTGCCTGTTCAAAAGTAAAGCAAACCATATATAACAATGTGATGCCTGCAAATTCCAACTTGCGATGGGATCCAGACTTCATGATGGATTTTATTGAGAATCCTTCTGCACGTAGCATCAACTACTCAATGCTGGGCAAGATCCTTAGCGACAATGCAGCCAATCGCTACAGCTTTGTCTGCAATACACTTATGAATGTATGTATGGGCCATCAGGATGCTGGAAGGTAAGCTGAGTTATCCTAGAATCTGTGATTAACCACATAGTTGTTGCCTTAGTGCCACTTTGAAATTAATGTCTTTATAAATATCAAAATCAACAGGCAACTAGAAACCAGAAACTTTCTGCAGAGAGGGAGAAGGGAGTAGGATCAAAACAGGTGGGAAGAGCACAAGGCACTATGGTGATGGTACAAGGTGAATCGATGGTGGGAATGTTATGGAGACTATAAAAGCACACCTTGTACAATAATGTAAAATAAAAATAAAGTCAAAAAGTATTTTTAAAAAGAAATTAATGTCTTTAGTAATTACCTAAGATGACATTTGGGAGTCATTAGCTTTTTGTTGTCATTGTTACATGTTCTTCTAGTCCTTAATTTGCTCTCTATATTGTGATTGTCTTAACCTGAGAGGTGGTACTTTCTTAATTACTGGCCTGCCATGAGATGTTCTAAGTATAATAAAATATAAAGATATGCATAAAAAGAACTATTTTATAAAATCTGTATGCATAACTAGCTGTGTCGTTAACTTTTCATGACCTTCAAAATATTATTTGACTGGTCAGATTTGTCCGTAGAACTACACATATTTATCAACATCTGAACTAACTGTATATTGTTCAGCAGTATTAAATATTAGAAAATATTTGAGTCCTTTACTTTTGCCTTCTGCTTTGGGTTCCGCTAGATCATTTAGCAAGTGGTGTTTATTATGTCATCAAATCTATGAAATGAACGACTTGACTGATGATAATGACATATATGTTCATTGACTAGATCACATGTGACTATTTCTGTTTTGTCACTTTCTGCTCTATTTTTCTTCTGTCTAGGATTAATGATATAGCCAATTTCTCCTCTGAGCTGACGGCTTGCTGTACTGTTCTTAGTTCAGAATGGCTGGGTGTACTGAAGGCTCTGTGCTGTTCCTCAAATCATGTATGGGGGTTCAATGATGTACTTTGCACTGTAGATGTAAGTTTTCTTTTTCATTTGAAGCTCAGCTATGCAATTTAGTTATTTTTAAAAATGATTTATTCATTAACTGGAACTGTAAAATAGTTTTTTTTTTCTTTTGTAGTCTAAAGCAATAAATCAGAGGGTGGTTGTAAGTACTTATATAAATGAAAAAGCCAAAATAAATATAGATAGCTTAATGTATAGCAGAGATGCCAAGAATGTCCTTGTTTGGTGGCCAAGATCCACAGATGATCTTTTCTGGGCTATTCATAGCTTTTGTGAATTGCTTTGGCTTCTTAGAGCACAAATAATATCTAAAGAAGTTAATAATCTGACTTCTTTAGTTAAAAATAGTGGGGTGTTTCAAGATCCAGATGCACTCTAAGCATGTAAGTTTTGTTGTCTTGCATAAGATGTTCATTCCCAAAATCAGAGTGTTGTCTGATCTTTCATATTGATTCTGTCTGGAAAGTGAAAGATACCTGTTATTTAGCACTCGTTTCCTCAGATAGCATATCACATCCATGCTGTGTGAATTGCATAAAAATCCATAATAATTATTTTTGCCTGTAACTTCTTAGAGTAATTTGTATTGTATGTTAGTGTATCTTACGCTTAGAAGAACATCATATCTTTTAAAAATGGCCACCCATTTGAAGGTTTACTTTCCTAATTCTGGTATCTCAATACTGAGTTGATACTATCTTATTTTTGTGGGCACACACAAAAATACTACAATTTTTGTAGTATTACACACACACATACACACACACACACACACCACAATAAAACTCTGTGAGCACTTATTTTTCCAAACATTGAAGACCCTGTTTTATCCTTAACACAGTTCCTTTGCTTCTTGGTCTTGTTTGTTATACTTTACCTATTTGGTCCCATATCTATAAAATTGGGATTAATGGTACTATGAACCTTATGGTGTGGTGCTATTGAGGGGATCTTTGTATATCACTAATCAGAGTCACTGGCATATATTTCAATTCAGTCTGAAAAGTGCTGATATGGTTATTTTTCTCAGTATTTTCTTGTGAGATTTATTGAATAAAGATAGAGGTTTTACTCTCAATGAGTCAATTTCCCTTCTCTTTTTTTGATGTGTAGAGGTCAGGTTCTTCTGAAAAACTAATTTAACTATGATAAAGACTCATTTTTCTTGATAGGAACTCCAAAACATTAGTTAGGCATGTTTTCTACTAGGAAAACTGCCTGGTTTTCCTTTCTCACCATTGGTCTTACCTGAAAGAACAACTCAGGCTGCTGAAAGGTTTATTATATATTGTAGGGATTTCTTGATTTTCTTTTAAATTACCTTTGTTCAAGGCAAAACAGCATATATTATAGTATGGATATTTTTATTTTTTTGGTCTTATAATGTAGCAGTGGGCTTAGAGAGTAGTAATCATGATAAATTATCATTTCACTCTGCTGTTCCAATGTGGAATTTGAGATCTTAATGGTATTGCCTTCATTCTCTTAGCTATTAATCTTAGATGTTACTTAAAAGGGTGTTAGGTATTAAAACATGTCAATGTTTTTCTTAAAGGTGAGTGACCTTTCATTCCATGATTCATTAGCTACTTTCATTGCTATTCTGATAGCACGACAGTGTTTCTCCCTGGAGGACGTCGTGCAGCATGTGGCACTGCCCTCTCTCCTAGCTGCAGGTAAGGCAGGTCCAGGATCGCCATTGGTTGGTGTTTGACTGCTGTCTGGGGGTGGTTTCCAACTAGTAGAACCCAGTGGAAGTCATGTTTAAGGGTACAGGTATTAGGCAATGATGTGACATCTGGGTCGAGATGGAAGGATGGTAATGATGTTCTACACAGAGTAATGGGAAAGGTTGGGAACTACTAAGAAAAGGAAGTTCTTGCCTTGTTTTTTACCATAGGGAGCTTTTATTAAAATTTTTCCAGAAAATGTAGCTTAATGGAATATTTGAGGACGTGGTCTTGTATATGTCTGAAATCTCTTGAAATCTCTTTCCTAGCTTGTGGAGATGCCGATGCTGAGCCTGGGGCAAGAATGACATGCCGACTCCTGCTCCATCTCTTTCGAGCTCCTCAAGCTTGCTTATTACCTCATGCAACTGGTAAGCTGACAAATGGATAGTCTCCGGTTATGTGTACATTTGAAGTTATCAGTTCTAAATTGACCAAGTAGGCTGTTGATTCTGTAATTTCCTTCCTGACTTTGGTGGGCTGGCATCAGTGGTGATGAAGGAGTGCAATAATGCCATTGACAAGGCTGTCAGCAACTTTCCTTTGTGTAACATCAGGATGTATTGAGAAACACAGATTAATAAGAGCTAATAACCAGTAAAAACATCTCTGTTCTTCAGCCAAACCATGCTGGTATGCAGCATGATCCTCTAGCATCCTATGTGTATTATTTCTGAACCATACCAGTGCAGCTTGGGGCAATGGCGATTCTTATCAGTTTTTACTAAGGTTAAAGGAATAGGATAAAGCTAAAGAAATGTTACGTCTAAAAATCATTTACATATTGATGTGTGTGTATGTACGTCTATATAAGCCAAGATGTATAAAAGTTCAGTTAATTTTTTTATACATCTCTCTATGGAACAAAGCTACTGTTTTAATAATTAAAAAGAAAGGATTAGTTAGGAATACTGGCAGAACATCTTAATGAACTCATAAGCATCAATTAAAGCTAGCTAATGGCGATTAAGTGCTTGCTGACTGTAAATGGCTAGAAAACACTGTTAATGATGGTCATGAGACTATTAAAGATTTGTTGTTGTTTTAATAGGCAAACCTTTTCCAGGAATAAGATCATCTTGTGATAGACACCTCTTAGCTGCTGCTCACAACAGCATTGAAGTGGGAGCTGTGTTTGCTGTCCTAAAAGCTATTATGATGCTTGGTAAGATTATCTTGTCACTAAATTTGGTTAATCACAAGAATTGGAGACAAAACAATTAGTATTCAAATGTTGCTGTAATTAATATTATTAGAAATGTTTTTGTTATGTAAAGATTAGTAGACTTCCTGAATTCCAGCACAGTTGGACCCTAAGAAGACTGGTTTTTACCTATAATTCTGGCATAATTTAAATATAACACTTTTTGGTATTCTAACTACAGGATTTCTCATTCTGATAAGCCAGATTACCAGACCCACCAGGTTGTTTTGTTGGCCGAAATTGCACTTTGTGATGGACTTGGATGATTTAGTAATCTAATGAAAAATTTAATTTCAGATTATATTCCAGGAGTAGAACACCAGAAAACCTAGATTTTTATCTTACTGTATCAGCTACCTTTGTGAAGGAACAAGTTTATAGTCTTTTCCTCTAGTTTTCATGAATCAGGTGTGGTAATGATAATATTATTGATAAACCAATATTCGAATTCACAATTTTTTAAAATTTATATCATAATGTCCACAATGTCCTTCATAGCCTTCTGTGGATATATGTTCCCGTAGAGCAGTACTACTGCATTTTGTGTTCATCTGCAGTGCGGTACCTTATGACAGTATTATTCTATAAATCACTGTGGATTTGAGTGATTAGGAAATCTTATATTTACACTGACTTAATTTGGTTTTGGCCTTTACTTAAAAAGTTATTTCTTATGTTCTGAATGTGCTACTTTTGATTACAAGAGACATTCCTGAGAAGATAAAAACCATTTCAGATGTATCTTAACGAATGTTTGCAGCTAGCTATACCTTACCCCTTTATTCTCTTATCTGAAAGTGTTATTTAGTGATAATGAGGAAGAAAAGGTAAAGCATATTATTAAAAGTTCCCCCCAAAATAGTAAGTTTAATGACATATATGAAATTAGTCCTTTGAATTGCTCACAAGTTTTGTTGAGAAAGGGATAGTTAGAGTTGCACACACACACACACACACACACACACACTCAGCTTAGGAATTTGTAGTATTATAAAACCGACATTAAATCGTCATTTTAGTAAGTAAAATTTCTCTACCCTGATGTTTGAAGGAAAGATAGTTGTTCACTTCTACTTAATAAATGTAGAGACTACAAGTTATGGGCTTGCTTTTTTATTATGGTATCTCTAGCTCCCATCAGAAAAAGTAAATAATGGATTTTAAAATAGGTTTTTAGTAAATGAATACTGAAAGAGTGGATGCTTACATGATGGACAATTTAGTGAGATGATCCAGGATTTGTAGGATTTTTCTGATTCCAAGTAAAATTTACCAACCTCTTTAAATATCCAAATACTTGTTTTTAATACCCATTCAACTAATTTTTCTTTGATTGTTTTTCCTTGACCCTTTCGTTGGGCCTTCATTTTGGTAGATGGAGGGGTCTTCAAGTGAAGATGCCATTGAGAGTGCTGTCAGCATCTCCTTTGTGTGATTTCAGGATGTATTGAGCAACTGAAATCAAGAGTCAGTAAACAATAATTCACCCTTAGGCCAAGCCATGCTGTTAGCCAGCATGATCCTCTAACATTAGGCCAGTGAAGTCATCAGAGAATCCATGGACTTAGTGTTCACTGAACACTAATTATCCTATTGTCCACACAGATGCAGAAGCTTCTTACACAGCCTCCCAGACCTTCTTTGTCATCTTCATATCTAAACTAAAAGGGTTTTCCTAGTGTAAGGCTGGCAGAAGTGTGTGTCTTTGTTTTTGTCCATGTGCCTCACATCACCTAACAAGTATTCTCTCGAGTCCTGTCCACCAGCATCAATTTTGAGCTAAAAAGAGAAGAGTGTTTTATATAATATGCTTTCTAATTTCACTTAAGGTATATGACTAGTAATTTACATCACCTGAAGTTGGAGAAAGCATGCTAAAATTTGGTAATGTAGCATTTTTGTCTGTCTTTTAGCATTTGGTGTGCTCTGTTGCATTAAGTAGTCCCCTGTGGGCTAAGTGAAGTTTGTACTTTTTCTCTGTATTTTAATGAGAAAATATGTGACAATATAAAATATGTGACAATATAATGGCTTACAGAGATACTGATGTTGAAATTTATTCCTAATTGTTCCTCTCATAATGACTTTATAAATACCCACTAGGCATTTCTGATCTTCCAATTTTTTTCTTCAGAGTTAAAAGCTTTTTCTTGGTTGACTTGTGGGTTTTAAAAGGTTTGTTTTGTGTTTTTTGTTTTTGTTTTGGTTCTTTGTGTGTGTGTATGTATGTGTGGGCATTTAACTGGGTTTGGTTTGATTCACAGTGAGGGCCTCATTTAAATCCTTTTGTGGGTTCCAGGAAATTTCTTTGTTCAAAGCTTATGATTTTGTGGTAAACAGGCAAAAGTTTGTGTTGTCATTTGGCAATCTTTATTATCAAATTCTATAATTTTATCATTTCTAAATATGGTGGTTGTCTTTCTTGGCTAGGGACATTATATTATTTCCAGCTTTTCAAACATTCTGTTCAGTTTTATCCCCAGAAGTTTGTTATGAGCAAAAAACTTAAATTAGCTTCATTTTACTGAGTATATTAGAGATTAATCAGTAAGGTTTTATAACTGGATGTTTATGAAGAGGAAAGTGAAAGACAGGTTATTCAATGAATGCCCAATTTTCAGGGCTTCCTTAGTATGCATTGCCCTTTTCCATTCCCAGGGAAATAAATCTCTCTTGTCAAGAAGTTGATAGTAAGGTGGGCTAAGGCAAAACTTTTCTCTTGACCTATGGATAGAAAATAAGTCATTGTAAGAGAAGAAATGGAAAAGGGACATCTAGAAGGGTGAGTAACCCATTTTTTCCTTATCTATAAGTCAAATTAATTTGAATACATTCATGCTTGAAATATTAGTGAAAACAGTATTGTATGATGACTAAGTATGACTCATAATTTCCTTTACGAGTTTGGTGAAAGTGTACTTCAGATTTGGTGAGTCCTGTAAACAAGATATGAAATGAGCTTTGAACTTGACTTTTCCCCATGTCTGAAGAAAGCTGGGTTCCTGCTTTTATTCTCTTAATCTATTCTCTTTATTGCTGTGCAACTGGCTTACAGTAACACTGTCCTTTACATATTTTTAAACTCTGGAGTTTTGCCTCATTTACTTTTCATATTTACAATATTTGACATTATTTTGAAATTCTATGATTTTGCTTTTGTGATTCTCTTCTCTAGGAGATGCCAAAATTGGCAACAGCAATGTCAGCTCTTTAAAGAACGATGACTTCACCATGAGGGGTTTACGACGTGATGGGAATGCTGATGATATCTGGGCTGCTTCACAAAATTCAAAATCCTGTGGAAAAAGCATTTCCATAGAAACTGCCAATTTAAGAGAATATGCTAGATATGTACTGAGGACTATCTGTCAACAGGTATTTTTAAAATTAAATTTATATTGCATTATGTATACATAGCTACTTGAGGTTCTGTTTGAAAGAAATGCTCTTTGTTATTGTTGGAAATTTACACACTAGTGATTTTTTTTTTGGCCCTACTGTCTTTATTTTGAAAACATTTCAAAGTTGATAAATATTTGCATTAATAATATAAACTCTAGGGCCCTCCCTGTGGCACAGTGGGTTAAAGCACAGCACAAAGAAGCTTAAGCCACTTCCGCAAGAGTTAGTTCCCCGCCTGCCCCGAGGTGACCCCATGGCGTGGCAGACCTCTCCTGACCTGCCCGCTGCTCCCCTCAGCAGTGTACTTCGTGGATCTGCCTGTTCTGCTCCCCGCTCTGTCTCTGGTGAATCCTCTCACCCTCCACATCTCTGGCCTTTACCCCAGTTCTGTACGAATAAATAAATAAATCTTTAAAAAAATAATAATATAAACTCTAGCATAATCTTTAACAGATTCTTTTTTTATTTTCGCCACATTTACTTTATAATTCTCTGTGTGTGAAAGTGGATGCATATATTTTACTTAATTTTTTTTCTGATGCATTTGAGAGTATTCTTTGGAAGGCATTCTTTTTTTTCTACTTTTTAATACTTTAGTGTTTATTAACATAACCAAAATACATTTATCAAAAATCAGGAAATTTAACATTGGTACAGTAATTTTTCTCACCTATTGGCCATATTCCAATTTTGTCAGTTGTCCTAGTAATGTTGGAAGATTAGCTTCAGTATATGCATTCCTGACCAAGATGCTACAGACATAGTATGTTCTTCTCAGGTAAACACATCTGAGGACACATGATGTTCAGTTGCACCTCATTCGGTGATGTTAATTTTGATGCATTGTACGATTTCAAGATTTCTCTACTGTATTATTATATATTCCTGTGTAATGAATAAGTAACCTTTGGGGAGACTCTTTGAGACAATCCAAATATCCTGCTCTTCATCAGCATGCCCCTCTCTTTTTTAGCAATCGTTTTGATTCTCATCCAAACCAGTCTTTATCATGATAGCTGCAAAGTGTGACTACTCCCCGCCCCAAATCTTCCACTCCTTCCATAATTGTCATTTTCCTATATATGCTAAGAAAGAATATCGATATTCATTCATTGACTCATTCATTTACTATATGGGTTAACATATGCTGTCCTCCTTAGTTATTATATTTGCATGGTCAAATGGTCCTAAATTGCCCCATTAGAGTGGGTCTTTCATGCTGGTCCTTGTGTTATTTTGACACAGCTCCAGCCATTTTTTTTTTTAAGTTATTTTTCAATTTCTGGCCTACCTGTACTTTCCCTGCCCCAGTAATAGAATTACTCATTCCTTAAAGAAACCCTAGTTCTATGTAGTAGAAGATGTTATTTAGAAAGTGAGGTCTGAGCACATTGTTTGCCCACTACTATGTGCAGTTTTTGTGCATGACTCCTAAGCTCTTTCATAAATTTTCTTAGAAAAATGAAAAGAGAAACCAAAGAACAATGAAAATGACCCCTTAGGCAGGGAAAGTGCAGGTAGGCCAGAAATTGAAAAATTACTTAAAGAGAAAATAAGCTGGCGCTGAGGTGGAGCCAGTATTGAGTCATTGATACAGTGGTTAAGAGATAGATTTCATCTGAAGCAGATATGGGTTCAAACTGGGCTGTGTTACTGTTGAGGGATTTCTTACCCCATTTTAGTGTAAAAGTTATCCTTGGAAAAGGTGACTTTAAATTGTTACAAATACACTGAATAATATTGTTCCACATCCATCAGTAGCTTTAAATTTTGCTATCTTACTTGACTCAGAAATTTAACTTCTATGAAGTTACCCAAAAAAAAATTGTATAGAAAATAAATGTGCATAAATATTCACTTATAGTAACATTATTCTTAATGATATAAAAAAAATTTTAAATGACACGTACTATCTTCTCTCTGTTTAAGAAATACAGTATAATTTTCCCATAAAAATTATGAAGATATAATTTAAATTCATTACTGTATACATAACAAGTTTTAAAAAATATTGTAACAATACCTAGAGTAAAATTCCAATTTCCAGTTGAAAACACATATGTATTTTCCTTAGTATTTTCCCTCACCTTTTCTTCTTGCTCCTTGTTTTTTGTTGTTGCTGTTTTTTTTTAACATTTTCTGTAGCCATAGTTCTACTTTGTATTTTTAAGAAGTCAAAAACACTAGAGCTTTCATTTTACAAACTTTCCCCACCTATTTTTTGCATACTTTTTAAACTGGAGTATTCACATCTGCTTTTCTATTCCATTGTATGGCATTAATTTTGTACAAAACGCATTCACGTTTCTAAAGTCTGTGCCTGTCAATCTAACTACCGTTTTATTTTTAGGAATGGGTAGGAGAACATTGTTTAAAAGAACCTGAAAGACTATGCACAGACAAAGAACTTATATTGGACCCTGTGCTTTCAAATATGCAAGCACAGAAATTACTGCAGCTTATCTGTTATCCTCATGGCATTAAAGAGTGTACTGAGGGAGACAACCTGCAAAGACAGCACATTAAACGCATTCTCCAGGTGAGTGACTTACCAAAAGATTGTATTTTGCTATTTGACATAGCCTGGTGATTATAACAAAAGTTATTCTCTCTTTTATTATTACTATCATCATTGTTATTTTTGACATTGCTAACTGATTCATCTATTAGCAATTCTGATTTTCTGTTTAATTTATACTTTTATTTTGCTGGGTAGATATAGTTAATGTATACAGTCATTACAAATTAAGTCATTATTATATATGAAAAATAAGCTTTATGGAGAGATACTGTCTTAAATATCGTATTTAAAATATTGAAATCATCTTGGAGTGGATTTAGTTAGATCAATGATTTTGAGGTAAGTGCCTGACTAACAGACATTATTTTGATGTTGCTATTTATTTCTTTGTGTTTACTATATATGTAATAGATTTATAAGCTTTCATCTATAAAAATACGTCTATTTGTATCATTTTTTTCTTGAGAGAGGGAACACTGCAAGGAATAATTTTCAAGACATGTCCAGTATTGTTAATGTATTCAATCTTTCCATTCTCCCCAGAATCTTGAACAGTGGACACTAAGGCAGTCTTGGCTAGAACTTCAGTTAATGATCAAACAGTGCTTGAAGGACCCTGTGAGTAGATGTTGAAAGCATGTATACAATTTTATGAAAAACAAAAAAAAAAAGCCACATTGATGTTTGGGCTAAAAGAAAATGTGTGTGCTAGTTTTGTTCTTTCTCATTCCAGGGCTCTGGTTCGGTGGCTGAAATGAACAACTTACTGGACAATATTGCAAAGGCAACAATAGAGGTATTTCAGCAGTCGGCCGACTTGAACAATAACTCTTCTAGTTCTAGTGTGGGCCTCTTCAACCCAAATGGTATCGGCAATACTGATATAAATAGCATGAGACAGAGTGGAATAAAGACATTCCTAAGGTATTCTTTCAGTTGTTATTTTTCAGCTATCATTAATTTTCACATGTAACAGTATGTTTTATATGTATAAGAAATGTGAAGAAAAGAATTGTGTCAATTATCACTGTTTAATAATATACGATAAGGAAATACTGCAGGAGTAGAGAATGCCTTAGCGTTCTGTGTGTTAAGTTAACATGGCCTAGATGCCTGGAAATAACGGATGTCATGCAGAATGGATAGTGATTTCTTAGTGTTCCCTCAGCTCCTCTGCCCCATGGTATTTATTAGATAAGAAACACATTTTCTGCTATTTGTATTAATTGATGACTTACACAAATGATAATCATGAAAAGTAGATTGACTTGCATTTTATCATTTTGGGTACAACGTATAGCTGGTAAATCATAAAAATTCTTTACTAGTGTGCTTAAACATAGTTAAAACATCTCATATTTAGTCATGACAGAAAAGCACATTGCTTATTGAACAAAAAGAACTAGTAGTAATCAGAGAATAGAATCATGGAAAAACATTTTGCAGGTTAAAAAATATCATTTAATTAGTTTCTTCCCAAAACTCTACCTTCCATTGCTTTCCATCTATGTAAGTGGAAGAGTATGGGTAAGTATCTGATATTTAGCAAGAGGAAAGATTGGGTAGAAATAAAGGGAAATTTTACAGTAATTTGTGTGTCTTGTGCAAGTAAATTTTGTTTTGAAGTTTCTATTCTGAGAAGAGAAAAAAAGAGACACATCCTTGGATATAACACCTGTTTCTGATTTTAGTTCCTCTGAACGCAGGGGTGTATGGCTGGTGGCCCCTTTGATAGCCAGGCTGCCAACTTCTGTGCAAGGAAGAGTGTTGAAGGCTGCTGGGGAGGAGTTGGAGAAGGGGCAGCACTTAGGGTCTTCTTCAAAAAAAGAACGAGACAGACAAAAACAGAAAAGGTATGTATGACTAGATGTGCTTCGCTATGCGAGAGCTTAAAGAACAATTGAGAATACTAAGCATCTTGCAGGCACGCATGGTCATTGTACCAGAGTCCACTGAAATGTTTTTAAATGGAATTGAAAATATTCTGTTATGTAGGGCTTGATTCCTAAATCAAGTTGTTACATGTAGTATAATAGTTCTCTACACTACCTGTGTACCCATATCACTGCTGAACTACTCAAAATACTGAGTTTTTAGCCACACATCAATCTTACTGAATGAGATTTAGATATACACTTAGTTCCTATGTTCTGCTTTTAATTATTTTTCATATTTATGACCTGGGCATTTATTTTAAAATACATCAAATTATTTATAATCGTCCTGGAGTAATAACCCTGGAATAGGTATTACTCTCTTTAACACTTAGGGCTCTTATTCTAGACCAGATATTGAAAATTAAAGTAAGCAACAATGTTTAATGTTTTCTTAATTTATTTTATGCCCAGGAAGAGCTTCAAATATTTACATTTGAGAATTGGTCATTTTACTGAAAAAAAGAGCAAAACCACACACTAACATGAAAGCGTGACAGTAGCACCCTAAGAGTAAAGGGAAGTAATTATTATTTCTTCCATTAAAAAGAAAACAAAAGTTTAACATCAGGGTCATTTGTCCCCTAATTAATATTTTAACAGCTGTCATATATTGAGTCTCTATGAAATGCCACTGTGCATTATAAAATGCATTGTTTCCTCTTTGCCAATGTTCATTAACCATCCAGGTGACTCAGTTTTTGTTCTTAAAATGAATTTGCTAATGGGTGATTTATGTACATTACCTCACTTCCTGCAAGGAAGACAAATAGTATCACAGAGCTTAGAGGTAACTTTTCCCAAGACAGTTCCAATTTGTTGTTTTGTGTAAGAAAGCTAACTCAAATATTTTGACCTCAACTCATTTTCAAGAAATATTTCATTCTAATGTAGCACTTAGTTTATCAATGTGATTTGTTAGATGTCTTCTGATAATTGAACAGTATGACTAAAATTCCAATTTAAGGATAGAGTTTTTACCAGATACGTTTACAGTTCTTCACAGACAGACAAAGCTGTCTGGCAGTGCTCACGCCAAAGGTTACTAGTGAGCACCCTAATTTTAGAGACCTCAGACCTGGGTGTTAATCTTGCTTCTCTATTTGGTCTTGAGACACTAAAAAACAAAACAGGAACAATAGTCAAATAACTTGTTTCCAGAACCCTAAGTTAGGAATTTTATGTGAGAAAAATTTTGAATTTTATTCTGGTATATAAATTGATGTTCTGCCAACTTATCTTTAAATCCAGCTTGCTAAAATAAAATACAAATTCTCTTTTCCCTGTACTTCCTCTGTACACCTATGAGATATGAAATTATGCTATTTGGGGAATGCCTTCGAGGTTAAGAGAGCAAATTATTTGAAAGCATTACAGTATCTTTTAGTCTTTTTAGTAGAACTATGATTTAACTTTTCAAGTAGTCTTTGGCTATTTTCTACTCCCCTCCCTTTTTTTCATCATAAAATAAATAAGAGCAGTTAACCCAAGGGCAAGAAGTTATAGCTGCATAGGAAGTAATCCATTCTTGCTAACTAGGTTTGCTATTATTATTTCCTTTATAGTATGTCTCTTTTAAGTCAACAACCTTTCCTCTCACTGGTCCTTACCTGCCTTAAGGGACAAGATGAACAACGGGAAGGCCTCCTGACATCTCTCCAGAATCAAGTTAATCAGGTAAAGTATAGTAGAAATTAAGCCAGGCAAGTAGTTTCTTAATAACACTAATTTGTTTTCCTTTCAAATACTAACATTAAACTAATAAGGGCACAGCATGTTTTGATTAGATGCAGGGAGACACAGTCCATGCCCTGTTCTCCTACTTAGTATCCTAGTAACCACAAGATCAACAGTTTTACAATATTAACTATGCATTTAGATAAGAATCTATAACCTATATAAAAGTAGCATTTTGCATATAACCTGAATGGATATGTTTGTCTCTTAACCCTCCCTTTTGGGAGAAATCCTGGAGCAACCTGTGTTGTAGTCAGTGTGGCAGTGGGACAGAGGAGCTATACTTAAATCCTCAAGCTGGGCTTGTACATATCAAACATGGTCTCAGCTTGAACCTATTTAGACAGAAACTCAGTTTTATTTTACTTCAGGAGCCAGTGTATTGCCAGTCAAATGCATAGGACATTCACTTTTAAATCAGAGGGAATACTGGTTTATTTACAAAGAATTTGCCTTTATTCATTTTTAAAGATTTATTTTTATGTTTTTATAGACTTATTTATGTATACAAGAACTTGGGTGCAGGCCAGAAGTACAGGGGCATTAGAGGATTCACCAGAGGCAAAGTGGTGAACAGAACAGGCAAATCTACTAAAATACACTGCTGAAAGGAGCAGCAAACAAGACAAGAGAGGTCTGACCATGTGGATCAGTTACCTAGCCAGGGATCAAACTCATACCACAGTGGGATGATAGCTTGATAGCACTGAGAATTTAACCCTTGTGCAATAGGGAGACCCCCATTTACAGAGAATTTGGACCTGAACTTTTCCTGGCCACTATTTGGTTGCTTAAATTCCATGTACCAGAAGGAAATTGTGTGGCTAAGCTAGAAATTGGTGACTGTGTGATTAAAATGTGAAAATAGTTTCATCGTGCTGGAAGGTTTATCTGCAGAGCTGCGGAACCTGATGGACCTCTCTGGTGGTGCTGTGATTCTATGACACCTTGCCTTTCCTTGCATGGTACCACATTGAGATGAATTGTAATCTCCTGTGTTGTAGAAGAAAGATTTTTCTTCTACATAACACCTACAGGGTTCCCATAATGCACATAGTGATATAAATCACATATTAGTACAGTGTCCACAGTGCTCTAATATTTCATACTATATCTAGAATAAAAATCTGAAGTCTGAACTTACAAGGCCCTACATGATTTACACTGGCTCCCAGTTCTACCTTGTTTTCCAAATCGCTCTATTCATTTCACAGCAGCATGTTGCTGTTCCTTGAAAACAAGTTCTTACTTCAGTGCCTTTGCATCTCTTATTCCTTTTACCTGGAAGGCTTTTCCCCTTATATTAACATGGCTGGCTTCTTTATCAGATCAGATCTTTGTCAGATGTCACCACCTTTAGGGAGACCTCATTGATCACTAAATACACACCCACAGTAATTTTCTGTCCCCTTATCTTGATTTATACTACTTGTCACATTTCTATTTGTCCTGATTTTCAAATATAAGCTCAATGACAGATTGTATATTTTCTTAACTACCATAAGGCAGCTTAGGGAGAAGTATCTATTTTAATGAGGGCTCAACTCTTCTTGAAATATACTTATAGGTCATCTGTTGGGCTGGGTTATTTCTGCATGTGACTCATTTCACCTCTTTAAGATGATCCTCATTAGATACTATTTTTCAGAGCATGACAGTGTTTTGCTTATATCATCTGATTCTGGGGTGTTTCTCACTTGTGGTTTGTGGTTTGCCTTTTCTAAGCAAACCTCCCCTTTCCTAACATTAGCCTGAGGCAGTGAGGAAGTACACCTTTTATAAATGGACATGCCACAAAGTCATATACACATTTCAATCTATAAGATAGCAAGTCACCCCTTTAATAAAATATCAACATAATAAATTTGCTAAAATTCATAACCCTTCTTTATAATATATGATGGGATGGATAGAAAAATGCCATTCTGTTTCTCTAATACTTTATAAGGCCAGTGAAATATATTAAGAAATAATCCTTACTGTTATTAATGTTTAACTTGATAGCCTTCCAAAACACTTTTTAAGACTTAGAAATAAGATATAATAGATGGTATTTCTCTGACGTGGAAAAGCAACAGACAAAGAAATAGCCAGGATTACTGTGTATATGTAAGAACAGGAGAAAAGCTAGTTTTATCTTAGCTTTGTTAATTTGTTTAGCTAAGACATTGTCTTTGTTTTGCACTTTTTTTGGTCAATAGAAAACTCAATTTAACTTTATGAGAAATAGTCGGTTTTAGTAAGGGAAACAATGCATTTTCATTTATTTTATTATTTAGATTTTAAGTAACTGGAGAGAGGAACGATATCAAGATGATATGAGAGCACGGCAGATGATGCATGAAGCATTGCAGCTCCGTCTGAATTTGGTAAGAGAGGTTTCTAGTATTTTGTCTTTGTAACAATCTGTAAATATGGAAATAATTCCAGCTTTTCACTTTCTGCCATTGTCAGTCCTCATTACAAGGTGAGACCTTCTGCTCTTTGTTCTCTACTTCACTGTCTTTGGAACATTCTCTTTTCCTGGCTGTTGTCATCCTTGTCACTTAATGTTTTCTAGACAGTAGTTCATGATATTTCACACACATAGATTTGCCTTCTACAACCTACCCCAAGAAAATCTCTCCTTTTTAGTTTGTGCTTAAAAGTAGGTTTGTGTTGATACACAGTTAACCTTTGAACATAGTAGACTTGGGGGCCCCCCACCTGGTATAATTTTTATACAAGCCCATGGTACCCATTCTAGAATCTGAGCATAAAAAAAAAAAAACTTTTGTGTAAGTGGACCTGCACAATCCAAATCCATGTTGTTCAAGGGTCAGCTGTACTATTTTGACATAGGCATAGCTTTTAGCTTTCACTGTACTTATTTGAAGACTGTGTGAAAACATGTTTTCCAATTTTACATTTAATTGATCATAAAAGCAAATCTGACAGATTTTACAGAAATTTTAAATTTCTCACACATTATACATTCCTTTTTATTTTTCTTTTCTCATTGGACAATCTCAAATAAGAGGTTGACTTTCTTAATATTTGACACATAAGAGTAAGTGAATGTGGGTGGTATACTGCCTGCACTTACTTGCTTCTGTGTTACTGGGCATTTAAAAGTGTTTTTATAATAGTCATAGACTGAATAGTGATTGAATAATACAAATTGCTAAATGATGGTAGCATATGGTTTTGAACCACTCAGATTTTATTTGACCAAAACTGCATCATTGGATACCATGGCAAATTTGCAACAACAGAAGGTTAAATATATTGGTCATGAATTGAAAGTGTGCTCACACTTGAGTGCTCCTTTCCTTTCTTTAAGTGGTGGGGTGACTAAATTTATTCACTGAAGGAACCAACAAGAATGAGAAATACATAAATAGGTAAGAGAAAAGGCAGGATAATTCATAAATTACAGTCTTTTTTAAAAAAACTGATCTAAGTATGGCTGCATAACCTGATGGATGTGGCATTTTCTCTGTGGCATAAAGCAATTTTTTCTTATATTTATGTGTCAGGTGGGAGGAATGTTTGACACCGTGCAGAGGAGCAGTCAGTGGACAACAGACTGGGCACTCCTCCTCCTGCAGATCATCACTTCTGGAACCGTCGACATGCACACTAACAAGTATGTTCTTGCCACTTCACGTGTAGCCTGCTGCATGCCTGCATAGTAGAAGCTTTGTCATAGTGACTACATGTACTGCCACATTTTATTTTCTTACATACCATTCAATATTCTGTGCCTTAAGTAAAAAGTGCTCACTTAGTTAAAGAATACATTGATTTGGCTTTAAGGTGAAAATAATTATTTTCTTCCCCCTCTTAGTGATTTATTCACAACGGTTCTTGATATGTTGGGTGTTTTAATCAATGGGACGTTAGCCTCTGACCTATCTAATGCATCTCCAGGAGGATCTGAAGAGAACAAACGTGCATACATGAATTTAGTAAAAAAATTGAAAGTAAGTTTGTGACCTGCTTATATTATGCTCTCAAATTGTCAAGAACTTTTTCTTTAGTGCATGTTATCCTTACTTGTTATCCATTAAATTAAATGTTATATATTATACTGAAGTAAATTTAATGTGATTATTTTTCTTTTTGCTTACTTCAGTTTACCAGTACACAAAATCTTGAGAATTTTGAAGATTTTTCTTTAAAAAAAATTAAATTCTCAAAAATGGTTCCATTTTTGAGGGACTGCTAAAATCTAATATCAAATATATAACCAAATTACCAACATTAGGTTTAAGATAAATCCATGCTTCACTTGGCACTTGTAGTTGAAAAATAACCATTTGCATTGTTATTTCTAAATGTGATTCATTTGACTAATCACTTGCATAATCTCTGATATAAACTGTAAACAGAATCAGTATGGGGAACAAAAACTGATAACTTTACTAATAAAAGAACCAGCTCTTACCCCTCCCCGGTGGCGCAGCGGGTTAAAGCACTGCACTGAGAAGCTTAAGCCACTTCCGCATGAGTTCGATTCCCGCCTGCCCCGGAGGAGTCCACATGGCGTGGCAGACCTCTCCTGACCCACCCGCTGCTCCCCTCAGCAGTGTACCTTGTCGATCTGCCTGTTGTGCTCCCCACTCTGTTTCTGGTGACTCCTCTCACCCTCCGCATCTCTGGCCTGTACCCCAGTTCTATATGAATAAATAAATAAATCTTTAAAAAAAAAAAAAGAACCAGCTCTTACCTTGTGACCAGATCCTGGATTCCAGAATGGGTTCTGTTCTGTGTCTTTCTGTGTCTTCTGTCTTCTGATTACCAATCTGCCACGGATTTTTGTCATTTCAGCACTGTGGTGTCTGTTGTGTAACAAAGGTCCCTTCTACTTAAATAGAAGAAATGAAACATAGTACTCTAATTGGAACCTCAATATAGACCATGTTCATGGTTAAAGAATATCTGGACTTCAAAAAAAAGGGAAATGTTTTATAGGGGAACTTCCTTCTTGTTAACTTCGCCTTCATTGTAATGTGTCTCTTTTTTTTCTCTTTCACTCTGTCTCCCTTTTTTAGAAAGAACTAGGAGACAAAAGGTCAGAAAGTATTGACAAAGTTCGACAGTTGCTACCTTTGCCGAAACAGACATGTGATATCATCACTTGTGAACCTATGGGCTCCTTGATTGACACAAAGGGAAACAAAATTGCAGGATTCGACTCAATAGATAAAAAACAGGCAAGAGTAAATGTTTTTTTCCTTATATAAATACCTAAATTCATAAAAACGAAATGCATGTTTATCTTTTTCTAGAATATATACTCATTTATAAAGATTCTTGATTATTTTAGAGATATTCTTGTCATTTAAATACACTTGTTACTGGCCTTATATAAATAGATGAAATCTTTCAAAGTATTCATTTAAAACTTAGAATTTAAGTGAATTTGTAAAGCTTATCAAATGAAAACTAGTAAAAACATAGTATTTTAAAAAATAATAAAATAGATCAGCTCCTAGTCTTCAGGTAGTAAATTATCTTGAAAAAAAGAGTATTTTAGAAGTGAAGATATTTCAGTTTTTGTCTAATAGTATTTAAGAACTTATACAAATTATAAGAGAAGTTTGTCTAAAATATGAAGAGTATTTATTCATTGAATGAATGTTGAACAACCACAGACTTCCAAAATCACAGCTATGAAGATTTTTTTTTTTTTAACCTAAACAGACATAGATAGCTTCCCTTCAGAGAAGGGAACTGGAAAGGAACCATAATACTCAGATCAGCCGTAACTGTCAACAGGAGTGTCTACAGGAAAATTGACCTGTGTATTAGCAAGAGGCAGTGAAAAGTACATATAGGCAAAGCAAAGAGTTTATGAAGAGGTGTTACACACTGTGGCTCACAGAGAAATGTAATGCTGCATTCATTCAGAGTAACCTGAGTTCCTTACACCAGTGTGCTATGGAGAGAGAAAAGCTATACTCAAAGGCAAGTTGAACTTGCAATACCAATGCCTTCTCCACTGGTAAGACATTTAGAAGTCATGGATCCCAATTAATATAAAATACAAGAAACTTATTTGTAGGAAAAGAATGACATTTTAACTTCTAAATTCAATAGGGAGAAGTTTGAATGAATGACTTTATTTGTACCTATTGCATAATACTTTTGGAATAATATTGTGTAACTAGTAAGTGTAACCTATGAAGTCCTTGAAAGAACCTTAAATTAAGTTTGAATCAATTCCAGACATGGTTGGATTAAAGTTCAAATATTGACTAGAAATTGAACCATTATCTTTGTATTTGCTTAAAATTCTTAGCATCCAAGTTTTAATTTGATTATAATCTAGTACACTGAGTTCAACTTTGCAGAGTTTTTTGAAATTTTTCCTTAATGAAAAATGCCATTCTACCGTAAAATAAACTTGATTTTCTGGTGGTACATGGGTAGACCCAAAGTATGGCATCGTGTAGTTTGTTTTTTTTTTTGTTTGTTTGTTTGTTTTTTTGTTTTTTTAATATCAAAGGCTGAACTGAATGGTCTTAATGTAACCATTCTTGACAAATCGCCAATCTGCAGAATATGTGTTCATAGAACATTGTTTTACTATAGGGTCTCCAGGTCTCTACCAAGCAGAAGGTGTCTCCTTGGGACTTATTTGAGGGTCAGAAGAACCCGGCACCTCTTTCCTGGGCCTGGTTTGGCACAGTGCGCGTGGACCGGAAGGTGGTCAAGTATGAGGAGCAGCATCACCTGCTTCTCTATCACACACACCCCATGCCTAAGCCCCGAAGTTACTACCTCGAGCCACTGCCCCTCCCTCCTGAGGAGGAAGAGGAAGAGCCCACATCTCCCATCTCTCAGGAACCAGAGAGGAAATCAGCTGAGCTGTCTGATCAGGGAAAACCCACAACAGATGAAGAGAAGAAAACCAAAGGAAGGAAGCGCAAGACAAAATCCAGCTCAAGAGTGGACGTAAGTACAGGAAGTGGAGAGATCCTTGGCTCATGAGCATCTACTGCAGTAACTACTACCTGAATAGTCTCCCTAGAAACATTCCTGAGAGATGTACAAGTTGTTTTTTTTAAAGATTTATTTACTTACGCATACAGAACTGTGGTACAGGCCAGAGGTACAGAGGAGTGAGAGGATCCACCAGAGGCAGAGTGGGGAGCATAACAGGCAGATCGACAAAGTATACTGCTGAGGTCAGGAGAGGTCTGCTGTGCTATGGTCACCTCCGAGGCAGGGATCAAACTCATGCTGAAGTGGCTTTAGCTTCTTAGTGCTGTGCTTTAATCCACTGTACCACCAGGAAGGGCCCAGGTTTTTTACTGTAACTATTACATTAACAGACTCTACTGAAAAAATAACAGAATAACATACAAATGCTGACTTATCACAGATGATAGGATTATAGTTTTTAAATTTTCCTTGTTTACTTGCCATATCATTGTTTAATTTTAAACTTCTGTTGTAACATTTAATATTTGAGTATCTCACAATTTTACATTTGAAGCTTAAATTTTTTTAGACCTATGAAACCTCAGCCTTTTTCATAGTTTTATTCTAAGAAAAGTATAACATATATGTAATGTATATTGGGCAGTTGATAACTATAACATGAAAAACTCAGCTTTTCCTTAAGTGTAGCTCACCTAATATACCTCATAGTGTGTTTCTGAGATTTCATATTTTGTCAATTCATCCTACTCCCCTTTCTTATATGTATATGTATGGTATCTTCAGTCTTTATAAGAGGTCAAAAAAATATTATTGCAAATTGTCTTTCACTTCTTTCCCTATTAACCTTCCTTACCTATAGAAAATCATTCTTGAAAAACAATAGAAATCTGTAAGACAGTAATTTAAAAATAATTTTATAGAATTTATGAATTAATGTATAAAGTATTTCCATATAAATTAGCCTGGAAAATACTTGAGAAAATTCAAAACATTTTCCTGTAAAATACAAATTCCAACTACACAGCAAAAGAAATATTCATAATTTACTATCCAGTCATCATGAGTAATTATAATTTTTCACCTATGTCAAAATCAAAACATATCCTTTCCTACTTTTGTTGTTGTTATTCTACAAATGACTGTCATCATTTTGGATGCCACTTGAACATTAGTGCTATCTTTATATCGTGTATAATCTTCCTAATAATATTCCTTTGTCTTGAAAGGGTACTCAATAATAATGTCCAGATAGCTAATCTGGGGTGTCCTGGCCACTGAATCCATATGGGTGGGTTTCTGTCGTTTTAATTTTGTTTCCCAAGTGGCCCTGCTCACTCTACCTTTACTCCTCTGAAGCTGCCTCTTTCCAACAGGGTATATTGTAGGAACTGAGATTTGGTTTTTCTTCTGTTGTTTAAATTTGGACTAGAGAAAAAGGAGGGTAGAGTTGTCAAGACATGCAGGTGTGATCCTTAGAAATTCTGCAACTTCTGTAAGGAAGAAGAAACCTGCTTTCTATAAGGCAGTAGCAGACAAATAGGAGGGGACTAGCAGAAAAGACAGGACTGTATTTCTTTAGAGTGCTGTCCTGAAAACTGGGCATAAAGAGACTGCTAGACTGGTGCTGGTTCTGAAGGACTGTGGGCCTTTCTGGTTTAAATCCCATAGAGACCCAAGGAATCAGAAAGGCCTTCTAAGGTGAGTGACTTAGAAATCTTGACTGGAAAATTTAACAACCAAAGATGTTCTTTCCTGCTGTAGTTAGTCAATATTGGTATTCTGAATGTGGTTTTGGTACTTTAAAAAACAAGACTTCAGAAAAGATACGTGCAGTCTCTTCCACTATAGTAAAGTTCTTTTTTTTTTTTAAAGATTTATTTATTTATTCATACAGAACTGGGGTACAGGCCAGAGGCTCAGGGGCGGTGAGAGGCTTCACCAGAGACAGAGTGGGGAGCAGAACAGGCAGATCGACGAAGTACACTGCTGAGGGGAGCAGCGGGCGGGTCAGGAGAGGTCTGGCTCGCCATGTGGTCTCCTCCGGGGCAGGCGGCAGGCGGGAATCGAACTCATACGGAAGTGGCTTCAGATTCTCAGTGCTGTGCTTTAACCCGCTGCGCCACCAGGGAGGGCCAGTAAAGTTCTTTTTAAGTCAAGGAAAATTCTTAACTCAAATGAGTGTATTTACTGCCACTCTTTTTTTCAGTGTTCCTCATTATAAAAATAACTTTGTTTGCTGGGATAGGAGCTATCACCAATAAATTAATCAGAAAATTTACATTATTTCTTTATGTGTTACATGGAGTTAAGTAACTTTTTTTTTTTTTTTAACTTATGTTGAAGGAGTTTCCACAAAGCAACATATACCGAGTGCCTCCTAATTACTCACCGATTTCCTCTCAGATGATGCACCATCCACAATCTACCTTGTGGGGCTACAATCTCATGGGTCAGCCCCAGCAGCCTGGCTTCTTCCTTCAGAACCAATCTCTTACTCCAGGTAATACAGAGATTGTATCTGACCACTCTGGAATGAGAAGTAGCTTAGATCTCTCATTGCTTTTAAACTGAAGCCTCCACAAACTTGGAAAGTTCAAAAAATAAGTGCCATGTATTGACATGTATTTTCTCCTGCTTCAGTCATATCTCAGTTTTGATTTTATGTGCTAATTTTGGTATTTTCATCAGTGATAGAAGGAAATTGGACATGAAAGAAAGTCTAATCTAGATTATAAAGTTAATAAAAGCTTTGTTGTGAAATTCTTATACATCTGATTATATATAATTCTTGTCAGTGTTTTAAAAGCTCACACCTTATATTGCACATAGATTGCCTTTTATAGTTTTACATTATCAATGTTAAACAAAATGCATTTGAATCATTTTGCAAATTTGGTTCACTAAGTAGATGTGTTAATGAGGAAAACTACCATATTGATAGAAATGCTCCTCACTGTAGTATTGCTTTGATTCAGGCTTTAGATTTTATATCCGGAACAAAGACTTTCTCAATAAAATGATCCTAATTAGAATGAATTTAATTTTCGTTACAAGTGAAAGTTTGTTTATATTAGCAAAATAGAATTATTGTGAAATCTCAGTCTTCATTTTGTTAGGATATCATTCTAACATAATTTTTTTTATTTTATTTTAAGTTACATTGTGATTTTTCTTATGTTGAATATGACATTGTAAATCACAGGGAAGAATATGTTTGATTCTTCACTCACATTAGCAGACTATTTTGAACTTCATGGTACACTAGAATTCACAAAGTCTAACATAACAGTAAAAGGACTGGATAAAATATCTTTTTTTTTGAAAGATGAAGTTTCTATTACACTTGTGTGTGAAATTTAGAGATGTGGCACTTAGAAGATTGCCTGGTATGGAAGACATGTTCAGTAAATGATTTTATTTTGCTTTTAAAGAAGCAGTATTTGTGCATAGAAGCACTGGGGTGTAGGCCGGAGATGGTGTGGGGATGTGTGAGAGGATTCATTAGAGTAAGAGTGAGGAAGAGATCAAGCAGATTTACTGAAGTACACTGCTGAGGGGAGCAGTGTGAGAGGCAGCTGAAGTCTGCTGCACCTATGTGGGTTAGCAAACTTGCCTGCAATCAAATTCAAGCTACAACTGTAATAGCACTGAGACTTAAGCCCTAGGCTACCAGGTGGGCCCAAATGATTTTAATATACTCCCTACACAGGAATTTTGCATTTGCTAGTCCCTATACATGGAGCACTCTCCCTCAGTTACATACATGTCTCAGTCCTCGTCTTGGATATTGGCCAGATACTACTTTCTCAGTGAGACTTCCTCAACCTACCTATTTTAAATTGTGAACCATACCTTTTCCATTCTTTCTAGTTTTTGATAGCACCAGCACTTGCTTGTGTAAGTGTATATTTTTACTCAGTGGTATCTTATCTGCCTGTTCCAGATTTTAAACTCTATGAAGCATTTTTTCGGCTATGTCCACTATAGTATTCCCAAGAACATAAAGTAACATCTGATTTGTGTAGTTAAGCATATACTTAATAACTGTTCTGAGAAACATCATTAGGTGAATTCACCATTTTGTGCTAATGCCATAGGCAGCAACTACATAAACCTGGTTGATATAGATGGAAAGGAAAGTAATTATGTGAAAATGTTCAGAGGATTTCAGCCATATATTCTTTTTCAGTTGACTCAGCAGTTAGGAAAATTAAAAGAAAGCAATTTATAGTCTAATCTTTAAAAGAAATTCCTTTTTAAAATGAGTTAAGTTTTATGTTTTAGTTTAGTTCCAATTTTTGCTTTAACAGAAGTTACCTTTCCATATGTTACTCAAATTGACTTTTTGTTTTTTTCCAAATGATAACTTCATTGAATTTTCAGAATGACTTCATATCATATTACTGATTGTGGTACTGAGTCTTTTAAGAGAATTTGTGTTTTTCTTGTAACATATGGCTCTAAAATATTTGTTTCCATAGTATGTTTTAAAAATATCTTCTGTGTGGTATTTACAAAGAAGATTTCTTATTCACACATTAAGAAACAGACAATTTGGTAAATGAAAAATAAGTTCTACTATGAAGTCAGCAGATGTTGAATGACTTTTCCCTCAAACTCTTAAAAGCATATGACAAATTATATGTGCAGATATGTTAAGGATCTTCCTTTGGTTTCATAAGTATTGTAATCAGTGATCCTTGTTTATGTGATTGAGGTTTGCAAGCATTTCAAGTTTTTCAAGTACTTCCATGACTCTCTTGTACCAAATAGGCATTTTCATTTTGCCATGATAAAGAAGCTTAAATATCATGAGCTTTTGTAATTACAAACAGATTTGTTTAAATTTTGTGTGTGTGTGTGTGCCTGACTGGAACACTTGGCAAAACACACCACAAAGGCAATACATTTATACAAGTAAGATGTTTTTGAGAACCTTGCATAATTAAAAACCTCATGATCCAAAATTGTACTTTCAGCTTATCAACTTAAGTGGAATCTTCAGTGAAGTCATTAAGATATTGTAATTCAGTCCTACGTTACTTTTGCCATCCTTTGGAAATAATACCACTTAGTATTACGTCTATGGGAGTGGGACAGTGCTTTTATTTTCCGTTTTATACATAAGTAAGGTGAGGTTACAAGGTGAGGCTTCTGTTTCCATAGACAAAGGAACACTGCTTGCATTAGTATGTGTAAAATGCCCTTCCTTCTGATTGCTTTTGTAGGTGGCTCCAGATTGGACCCCACGGGCTCCTTTGTCCCAACTAATACCAAACAAGCTCTGTCGAACATGCTGCAGCGGCGCTCAGGTGCCATGATGCAGCCACCTTCTCTGCATGCAATCACATCCCAGCAGCAGTTGATACAGATGAAGCTTCTGCAGCAGCAGCAGCAGCAGCAGCAGCAGCAGCAGCAGCAGCAGCAGCAGCAGCAGCAGCAGCGGCTCCTTAGGCAAGCCCAGGCTCGACCTTTCCAACAGGTTTGTCCAGACCCAGTCAGGGATTTCTGCCTTTCATTACTTCCTCAGGCTCAAGATGTGTGTATGACATGTTCTTTTGTGTGCATATCCCTATATTCCTGTGTGAGTGCAGGTATATCTCTTGTACAGGTTCTTAAATACTTACCCTCCTTTGTCTTTACTGGTATATGAACTCTAACTGCCTCATTAAAATATGTCCTAAAAGTAAAAGAAAAGCTAATGATTTTCTCAGTCATTTAGAGGAGCAGGCCTTTTATGCGTAAAGTAACCTCTAGCACTATGTAATTACCATGTATTTTGTATCCCTATTAGCTCTACTATCATGCATTATCATTTAGATTTATTACTCTGTAGTTATGTCTCACATTTTCTCATTTTTAATGTATAATTAAAAAGATTATAGCAGAACAAATAAATTACAAATAAACATATGGATACCTTCAATTTTTATTTTTAACACCTTATAACTAATTTTCTTTCATTTTTGAGATACCAGCAATTGTTTAACAAGCAATGGTGGGGATCATGGGGGAATTAGAATACACTGATGAAACCCATGAATCTGTACAAATACACTGAAATTTAAAAAAGGAATTGAGATTTAACTTCCTTTTCTAGTTTCTATATACTTTCTGTATATTCTAGTTTTTCTAAAATGGGCATACACTCTATTGATGATAGTGATAATAGTACTAAACTAGTTAACCCTGAGAGAGTACTTACTATTTGCCAAAACACTTAAGCTCTTTAAATCTATTAATATTTTAAGTCCCACAGCTCTCTATATATTTTTATCATCCCTAAAAGACATATTTAATCTGTATGTGTATCCTACTTAAGAAAAAACTGAGGCTTCAATTTAGGAGGAATTTTAAAGTTTTTGCAAGTATACTCTGCATTTTTGGCTACTTTTCTAGACACATCTAATTTATGGAACTTCTACATTCAGTTTACTTAGCAATTTTGGTAGGTGGGGAAGATTAATTTTGTATCCCTTTTTTTTTCCTACCTAAATTATAAGAAGGACAAGAGAGAGGAAATTAGTTGAATTTATTAGAATATACAAAAATAGTCACTACATACTTTTCCTAATCTCTAGCAACTAAACTCCCTGGAACCATCAGGTTAGATAGGTCTGAGTTGCTTCTTAACCATTTAAATAATGAGAATTTGGTGAAATATTTCACAAAACTCATTCTGCTAGAATAAGCTGCATATTTGGAGCTATCTAAAACCTCAGTTTGCATTTAGTCCTTCTGGGAGATAAACATATAAGTATGCTATTGTTTTGAATTCTTATTGAAATAAGAAATTTTTTCAGATTTAAAAAACAATCTCACTAGGATATGTTGAGTTCCTTTTAAAAGTAAGTTAAGCTTAACTAAACTTTTCCTTACAGTAATTTATTATTAGTTTTCATACCTGCCTTTGAATCACAAAGTGTAATTTTCCTTATAGTCCACTTGCAAAATATTACTGCTCAGTTCTGCTTGGAATCACTAAATGGATCTAGCCAAAATTGGTGAGAAACTCACTGGGCTAGGACCATTTATAGGTAAATATGCCTTATCCTTCAAATATTCACTTACTAATATAAACATGGCAATTTACTCTAATTAAAAGAAATTTTTCCTGAAAGCAATTTAATAGAATATTTTGCAAGTGATATGTCATACATACACAAATGTATAATACAGATAGTGCATTTTTGGAAAAAGCACATGACCTAAAATGTACCTGGGGCACCCTATTCATTACTCTTACACTGAAAAATTATTGCTTGTACTAACAGGCAGTATTTGAGAGTTCATCTTTTTTCTGTTTCTTTTGTGCTGCCATATTTTCATGTTTGCCCCTATGAAAAGTCAGGAATTCCATTTTCAAGTAGGTAAAACTCAACTTCATGACTCTGTTGGCCCAGTAGTTTCTCCTTCCCCACTTTATTTTAACAATTAAAACTTGCTTAAAAGCCTCACAGGGCTTTCAGCATGGAGACGTGTTTTTTCTCTTTACTTTTTATTCATACTGAGGAAAACTGTTCTTGTGAGGAAGAGAAATGCAGATCTGGTTCTGTCACAGGTGACATGGTTCAGTCAGGTGAAATGGTTCCACACAGTGTAAATGATAACATGTATGTAGCTTATGCTAGCCCGCCTGTTTCTAGAAGTTTCTGAGGAAATTATAGCTCCTTCTCTCCTAATAGATCAAGTACTAATACACTTGATCTCTAGCTAAATATATGTTGTGGCAGAAAAAAAAAAATGTACTAGTAATGTTGGTAAATGATGTTCAATATCTGAATGCAGATTATTTCTTTTTCCAGTATAGACCAGCATATATCCATCACAGTAAAATGACAGAGAAGTGATTTTAATTTTGGCAGCAACATAATATCAGTTGAATACCTACATATGATGTGATTCTCTCTAACTACATAAAAATTTACAATATTTTTTTCCAGTTTTTGACTTCTTAGACAGATGTAGTTTTTCTCTGTATCCCATCCATTTACTAATTATAGAAACCATTTTCTTATATGTGACAAATGTGTTGAAGAATTTCTCTTTCCCTTAACTTTCAAAAGTGATTTTGTAACTTTAGTAGATGCGTTCACAGTCTGGCTAGTTTCTGTAGGCCGTGTAGTGTGACCGCTTCCTGGGTCATTTGTCCAGTGTCCCATCTTCATCTCTCCTCTTGTCTTATAAGGTTAAACTTTGGGTCTTATAGTATTTGTATCTTTTAATCCACTGAGCACAGGAAGAAATCTATTTATAAAATGAATGAATTATTTTTTTGAGCTGCTATTTCCAGAGGGTTAGAGTTTTTAGTAGCCTTAATCTTTGATAATCTGGTGTTTATTTGCAACTCACCACATAGCTCTCCCCCTTTGAGCCTGTTTAGAAATTACTTCTTGCATTGATTTCTGCCATGTTTGTTTTGAAAACCTAGACAAAGTACAGGTGGGGGGCATAAATTCCTGAATTCTGAATTTGTCTCAGACTTTAGGGTCTCACTGGGCTCTTCTATCTGATGAAAAGAAGCAAACACATATGGGAATTAATCTAACTTTAGGTAGTACACAACAAAAACAGAAATACCATTATAAAATAACTGTAATTCTACCACAGAGACTGATTACTAACTGTAGTTGTTCATGAGATACTCTGTTATCAATCATCTTACATTTCTTAAGGTTGTTACCAAGATATTTATAGTGTCCAGGAAATCTGTATTAAATAGCATTAATGTTGTTAGATATTTTATATCAAATTATTTGATATAACAGTTAATAACATAATGAAGTACATTTCCTTACACCTTTATAGTACATTATCAACACACATAAAGATATTTTGGCAAGGACACTTTTTCAATTGAGTTTTGAGGTGGGAAAAATGGTTAATTGCCATTTCTTATTCAGTGTCTCTTATTTAAATGGAACACAAAATAGTATTGTTACCTTTCTGCGACTCTTTATAAAATGGAGTTCATGTGATGGGGACTTTTTAGGGTTCTTGTGAAATCAATGATTTAATATATGTAACAGCCCTTAAATAGCGCCTGGCTCATAGTAAGTAGTTGAGTGCACAAAAAAAAATGCTCCCCTTTTATTGTCATCTTATGGTTATATTATTTCAAGAGAAATCCATATCCCATGAAAATGATTTTATTTGCACAAATATCTTAAGCATTCAAAGAGGCTAAAAACACATTTAATACTTTGTGAAGGTACCTTAATTGTTTCTAATAAGATTGATACTCAGTGGCCCCCAGTAGAAAGACTAATGAAAAAGGATGTTATTTAGGTTCTCCAGTAGCCATTTTGTTTCTTTGGGGAGGTATATTTTTACTGTCTACAGTAAAAAGTTTGTGTCAAACTTTATAGGAGCTGATTAAAATTTGTTATTAAATGGCCCTCCCTGGTGGCGCAGCGGGTTAAAGCACAGCACAAAGAAGCTTAGGCCACTTCCGCATGAGTTCGATTCCCGCCTGCCCTGGAGGAGACCACATGGCGTGGCAGACCTCTCCTGACCCGCCCGCTGCTCCCCTCAGCAGTGTACTTCGTCGATCTGCCTGTTCTGCACCCCACTCTGTCTCTGGTGAATCCTCTCACCCTCCGCATCTCTGGCCTGTACCCCAGTTCTGTATGAATAAATAAAAAGAAAAAAAAAATTTGTTATTAAAAACATCACTTTTTTATTTTTTTGATACTCTTTTTATTTTCTTTGTATCCTAAATGTAGAATACTGTTATAATACAAAACACTATTTAAATTGTTCGCCATTGACTGTTTTCTTACATCCATTAATTTTCTTCCGAGAAAAGGAGCCTTTTCTCACTCCTACCACATCAGTCACATAGCGAAGATTATTTGGGAGGGGAATCTTAAGCTTTGACACAGAAGAAGAAATTAATTTTTTAAAAAGATTGATTTATTTATTCATACAGAACTGGGTTACAGGCCAGAGATGCGGAGGGTGAGAGGATTCACCAGAGACAGAGTGGAGAGCAGAACAGGCAGATGATCAAAGTACACTGCTGAGGGGAGCAGCGGGCGGGTCAGGAGAGGTCTGCCACGCCATGTGGATCTCCTCCAGGGCAGGTGGGGATCGAACTCATGCAGGGGCAGGCGGAAGTGGCTTAAGCTTCTTAGTGTGCAGTGCTTTACTGCTGCACCACCAGGGAGGGCCCAAAAGAAATTAATTTTATGCCTTGATTTATAATATTAATTTATCTTGATTACCCTCTTTCAATGCATGAAGTTATTTTGTTGTTCTTTATAGTGGTGTAAAACATTTGTCTTTCAGATGCCAGAGAAAGACAGTCAAAGGATGTTTAGCTTAAATTAAGACAAATTTGGAACAAATTGGTTACAGACTACAGACAGTGAATCATAAAAAATTTCATGTCAGTAAAAAGGACTTTAGACAGGACAGAAAAGTTGTGTCCAGGTGTAGCTAATGGTAACTTGTAAGAACTTTAGGTTAACAACCACTGAA